GAACCATATCCGGGCCAGGAGAAGTATCTAGTCTTAAGTGCTGCAGTTTCCGGAACACCAAGTCAGCGCTTAGGTCCACTTCGGAAAGCCCTGTGGAATTACAGGTGAAACTGTCGTCAATAGAGTTGATGTCAGCCGGCTGAAATGTTTGAGAGTAGTGTGCCGCCAGAAGGTTAGCGGCGTCACCATCGTTGTTGGTTGGGCCATTAAGACCTAGCAGTTGAGAAACTCCTGTTTTGGCTTGACGAAGAGAGACTGCATAACGGAATAGGCTTCTAGGGTTCGAGGCAAATTTGTCCATAAGCTTTGTCTGATAATGAAGCCTGTCTTCTCTTATAGCCTTCGTGCATATGTTCCTGATATGTTTATATTGCCTATACGCTCCGTCGTTGTCAGTTCGTTTGTATTCCGCCCAACAGTGTCTTTTACGGCTTAGCAGGCGAAGGGTACGGTTCTTGATTATTGTAGGTGGATTACAGCTTTTGGGAACCGTTTGAGAAACTGAATGGTTTGTAGCACATAAGAGCGTGTGCAGTAAGAAGTTCCAGTGACCGTCCACATCGAGTTGGGGGTGAACATCCCAAACCACCTGTTGTAAATAGTCGTGTAGAGCTGGCACATTCAGCCGTTTAAAATTCCAACGCAAGTTATTGTTGGAATACCTTAGCTTAGTTTTGGTGACAAAACTGAAGGCTATGACGGCATGATCGCTCTTTCCCAGAGGAGCCAAGATTGAGAGGTTGTCAACTAGGAATTCTTCGTTTGTGAATACACAGTCTAACCGCGATGGTGTCTGACTGTTTCTCCAACGAGTTGCCGACCTCACATTTTCATATAAGCCCAAGTCATCAATGAGGTTGAAGAACCGAGCTTCAATTGAGTTGTCACCTCCAGTATACGTGTGTTCCACGAAGTTGACTCTAGGAAGGTTAAAGTCCCCTAGAATCAGGATATGTGTGAAACCGAGACGGGTAGAGCGGGATAGTCCATCCAGCATACGACTATCGTACTCGATGTCAGCAGTTGGCTTCCTGTAAATGACACCGACTAGACACCTCGAAGTGCTAGACAATCTTACAGAGCACCATATGGATTCCTCAAGATTGTTAAACTCGAGGTTGTGAACTTGGTGCACCTCCAAGCAAGTGCTTATGTATATGGCTACTCCACCCCTAATTCCTGTTGTTCTGTCGTTGCGGAACAAAGTCATCCCTGGTAATGCTAACTCTTGGTCCGAGAACTGAGAAGATATCCAGGTTTCCGATATTTCTATCAGGTGGGCCTTATTAGCGTTGCAAAGTTCACGTAATTCATCCAGTTTGTTTGGTAGACTCGAGGCGTTCGTGTATAAGCAGTTTATGCACAATGTCTCATATATGTACTGGAGTAGAGTGTAATGGTCATTCATCACAGTATCAGTATGTACTGTCTCATCCTCTCATCTGGGACTGACCATTTGGGAGGGCGCTCAAAAAAGGTTAAAAACCCAAAGCAAATACTTCACATATAAGGTTCCGTTTCCCTTACTAAGTAGTGATTTACTGAGATTGTCTACCAGATCTTATTATTTCAGCACATTCTGGTAATTTATTCAAAGCGGGATCGAGATTTCACGGAGCTACAATTTGTATGGATCGATATAGATTAATTTACCTCCTATCATTACAAGAGATTACGGGTTAGTTTGACGTGAGATATTTAATGTTGGGCTTAACAATCATTCAACAATATTGTATTCCATAAGGCAGATGGGCCACTTTGTAAGAAACATTGATCTTCAGCTTCATTAAAACTAAAGCAATATTGGTGAACGACGGTGTGGGAGACGGAGAGTATTAATCAAAGATGCGGGAATGAGATGACACATCTTGACATAGCTCGGAATCAATGAAACTGATTGGACCCAAACCGGAGGGGAAAGGACAAATTCGTGAAAAGGTTCTTCTGCCCTAATCATGAAGATGAAATTACTTCGCACACGCACAGACACGAGACAGCGATGTACGAAATGCATTTAAAGAATGAGAACCGCATGAATCCAGAATATTCAAAAAGTCGTTCAAAATAAAGGAGGAGAGAATCACAATGAACCTTATCCGATGTAATGAGTCGACCACTAATAGTAATGAATACCGAGTTTCCAAGAGATAGCAATCGATTATGGAAAATGACTTCAATGCCAAAGTCGGAATGGAAAACACTGGGTAGGTGGGTATCACAGAACGAAATGGAATAGAAGAACGAAACAAAAATTGGGATAAATCCGCAACGAAATGGTTTCAACATATCACACCACGAAGAACTAGATCATATTCACATCAATAAAAAATTAAGAAGAACAGTGGAAGATGTGCGAACCAGGAGAGAAGCTGAAATGCCTTCATTTCACCATTTGGTTGCGGCCAAAGTTGAAACTGAAGCTAAAGAAGCACTGGACAACTGAACAAACAGCAGTACAAAGGTTCAATATAACCTTCCTACGACATACTAACAAATTCAACGACTTGAAGACAACTCTCTACAACAGGTTCCAAGTCTTACAGGATCTACTGAAAGAAGAAGAAACTACTATGGAGGACAACTGAAAAGGTATCAAATAAGCATTAACTTCAACATCTCAGGAGGTTCTAGGCCGAAACAAGCATCATCATGAGGAATGGGTCCCCATCAAAACCCCATACAATATTGAAGAAAGAAAAAATAGGAAAACGGCAATCAACAACAGCCGAACAAGAGGAGAGGAAGCCAAAGTACAGTCTGAATAAACAGAAGCAAACAAGCAAGTGAAGAGAAGCATTACAACTGACAAGTAGAAATACGTGGAAGATCTGGCAGTGACAGCGGAGAAAGCTTCAAGTGAAGGAAATATGAGACAACTATATGACACAACGAAGAAACTGGTAAGGAAATATGGTAAACTAGAGGGACCATTCAAGGACAAGGAAGGCAAGACAATCACCAAGATTGAAGAGCATAAGAACAGATGGGTGGAACTCTTGAATATACCAGCTCCATTCAATCCACCGGACATCGAAGCAATACTCATAGACCTTTTTATAGAGGTCACTCCTCCAACGATCAAAGAAATAAGGATGGCCATCAGACAAATCAAGAGTGGGAAACAGCAGAACATGACAATATACCAGCTGAAGCACTGAAGTCAAACATAGAAGTAATTGCAAACATGCTTCACGTTCTATTCCGGAAGATTTGGGAGGAGGAACAAGTGCCGACGGACTGGAAAGAAGGACACCTCATCAAGATACCAAAGAAAGCAGATCTGAGAGAATGTGAGGACTAGAGAGGCATCACACTACTATCAATACCAGGAAAAGTTTCCAACAGTGTTGCTGAACCGGATGAAAGACTCAATCGATGTATAACTTCGAGACCAACAGGCTGGATTTCGCAAAGATCGGTCGTACACAAATTAAATCGTGACACTACGGAACATCGTTTAACAATCAGTTGAGTGGAACTCGTCATTATACATCAGCTTCCTTGATTATGAGGAAGCATTTGACAGTGTGGATAGGAGAACACTATGGAAACTTATTCGACACTATAGTGTGAGTACCTGAGAAGATCGTCAACATCACCCGGAATTCATACGACGGATTACACTGCAAAATGGTGCATGGAGGACAGCCGACAGACGCATTCGAAGTGAGGACCGGAGTCAGACAAGGCTACTTACTCTCCCCCTTCCTCTTTCTTCTAGTGGTCGACTGGATTACGAAGATCTCGACATCTGAGGGAAAGCACAGAATATAATGAACGAGTTAGATGCAACTACACGATATGGATTTCTTAGATGACCTGGCTCTTCTATGCCATACACACGAATAAGTGCAGATGAAGACAACTAGTGTAACAGCAGCTTCTACATCAGTAGGCCTCAACATACACAAAGGAAAAAAGCAATATCCGGAAATACAACACGGAGAACACCAAACCAATCACACTTGATGGAAGATGTGGAATCTTTCACGCACCTGGTCAGCATCATCGGTGAACGTGGAGGATCCGATGCAGACGAGAAAGTGAGGATTGACAAAGTAAGGACAGCATTCCTACAATTGAAGAACATATAGAGCTCAAAACAACTGTCAGCTAATATCAATGTAAGAATCTTCAATGCGAACGTCAAACAGTTTTGCTATACGGAGCTGGAAGTTTGAGAACAACTTCAACGATCAACAAAATAATACAAGTATTTATAAATAGTTGTTTATTCAGGATACTCCGTTGGTCCGTTGGCCGGATCGGATACCATCAGCAACAGCCTACTGTGGTGTGGAAGAGGACGAATCAGCTTCAATCTGAAGAGGAAATTAGGAAACGAAGCCGGAGATGGATAGTAAATACATTGAGGAAATCACAAAACTGCATCACAAGGCAAGCCCTAACTTGGAATCCTGAAGGGAAAGAGAAAATACGGAGACCAAGGAACACATTGAGTCGAGCATTGGAAGTAGACATCAAAGGGATGAATAGTAACTGGAAAGGATTGCCCAGGACAGAGTTGGATGGAGAGTGTTGGTGGGCGAACCATGCTCCTCCACTAGGGATTACAAGCGTAAGTAAGCAAGCAAAACTGAAATTAAATACTTAAAGCTCAAAGGTATTCAAATGTACAGGTTATAAATTACGTCTGATAAAACAATAATATCTGTAACTTATTGAACTGAAATTCAAATTTAAGCGAAAACGGTTGCTGTTATACGTAATAAACAATAAAGACAATAAATTCCTATCAGCGGCGAGACTGTAATTCATCGATAATGCAATCCGGTTTAATGATATCTAGTCTTAGAGTTTGGCGTGAACTACATCCTTTCATTTAGCTAGATAACATTTTGGCATCCCAGTTGATGTCAGTTCGTGATGAAAACCACAAATCTATTTCTTACCCTAACCATCAACTGGAAATCATAATTCTAATTCCCCACACTGGTTTATGACCCTCATCTAGTCCTAGTTAGTGGGTTAACGTTCTCGAGGTCACTTTAGCATCGCTCAAAGGTCGTCCATAAATTGTAGTCTCACCGATATAAATTATTCCTAGATGTTTACAATTGAGTGACCATATAGTCGAAAAAACAACTGTACTCACTGACCACAATACACTTGAATAATTCGGTAACATGGAGTTTATATATAAACTGGGTATACCCAGCCCCTCTGAGTACTAGATTCCAAGTTGTCCTAGTTTTAGGCTTGTTGTGCTACTGGTTGTTTTTTTTTTGTTTTTTTATTAGGACCAAGTGCATTTTATGCACTTACTGAGTCTTCGGTTTACTTTTCCTCCTGTTTTTTCCACTTTCAGCTTTCCTCACGCATACAACTCTTTGCACTCCTATAGTACCTAAAGTACTACCAGGCTAGACGTGAACAGACACTTGACCAACTGCGTCGATGAGGGTCACTAAGCACTTATGGTATCGTATCCAGTGTTTCTTGAAAGTAACCTGTCCCACGGTATGCCCGTCAGCGAAGTATGGTACAAGGATGTTGGAAATTAAAGACGTTGAGTTGTGGGAATTGATACAAAAAGAAAAAGCTAGACAACGATCATCACTCGAATTAATTGCTTCGGAAGTATGTTCCTTGGCCCATCTGTATGCATTTTCAGAACTTTGTATCACAAAGTATTCTTGAATGCCTTGGCTCATGCTTAACAAACAAATATTCAGAAGGATACCCCTTTGCGAGGTATGTTCCTCGAAAAATAATTTTAATATTGAGAGCTATCTGGCAATCTGACGACAGTGGAAGTGGGTAGGGCTATGTCAGGCTAACAAAAAGCTTAATAAGACTAACTATTATTCCCTCTACTTGTGGTCTGAGTTCATTGAGTTTCTGACTGCTAACCTCGAACGTTTAAGTGAGTAAAGCCTATTTTATTGAACCACTCGCGAACGCTGTACCAATCAGTTAAGACAGTAATATGGTTTGAATTATGTTGCAATGCACACATTACCGTCTGGAACCCCAAACCATCATGTTATTATTTACCTATGATTTCTTCCAGACCTTATAATTATTGTGCCAATTCTAAATTTAGGTCTCCTTTGTCTATTTGTGAAGTGGCACCTTACAATGTAGGTAATAAGGTGTAAACTAACATGATTTTGTATTAAGTGTGTTCATAAGCCTTTCAGTCTTATTATTTAGCCAGGCTATCGACTGTGGATAGCGAGATAATCAACGTTTTCCCAAGAATATCATTCACTGAAGGTAAAGGAAGTAGGGTTCTGTATCAATGAATACTATAAACCCTTGGTTAAGACTTCAAGACGGTAGCTAATCAAAATGTATCTCATTTATTTAAGAACCTTGACACCAGTTGTCCAACTAAAGCTATTTGGAACTTGAAATGCTACTTTTTCAGACACTAAATCGTTGTAAGTCCATAATTTACACGCTTGTTAGAAACTCGTTCTCGGTACGTAAATTTTAAATGTCTTGTTTTCTCACTGTTTTTTGTGTGGTAACTGTTATGCGTTGACTGAATACTGTGTATATAGGTGGTGTTTCAATATCTGGAATAATTCCGTCTGTTTGTTCTGTATTTTGTTATTCATGTACCACATGTTTTTTTACGTGAGGAATTATGACACTTAGTAGTATTCAAACTAATTTGCTAACTGAGAATTTCCCAAAAAGTGCAATTTAAGTCATGTAGAACTAAGTGAACACAAACTAACGTATTGTATTTGTGATTCGTAATCTGTGGGCCATCAAGTACAAAGGAATCATTGGTTTGTACAAATACTGCAGGAATCTATCTTTCTATTTCTTCAGTGAAATGACTACGAATGGCTATATCTATCTTCATTTAGCACCTTCGACATAATAAAAATTACAGTTAGTTAGATGGTGGTAATTGTAAGTAGGATTCCCAGATTACTAGTGTCCTCAACAACAACATCCACTGTTTATCCATAACCTTTGGTGTTTATTCTCAGTAACCGTACTGATTGAATATTTTGGATAACTAAACGGGACCTAAATTTGTTTCAGTCATTATCACAAACACTTCTATTTCCAAACTAATAAATATATTTGACATGTTAGCCAGTTCTTGGACATTGCTTTAATGAATGGGTACGTTTACTACCTAGTTGTTTGTACCAACCAATCTCCTTCATGTGATGTCACTGTATTGTAATCTGAATAATCAATGTGTTTGGTTCACTAATCACGGGTTTTTTAAAACCCACTCGTAATATGACCAAAAAGTAAACGATTTCAGTCATACATTGTTTGTTAACATCTTCGAAGTGGAAATGAGTCTGAAAGTAGTTTGCTTAATTATTATCAACTTTATGTTGTTTCCCCAAACACAATTACCTATAGCTATTGTATTTAGGCACATTTTGACACCACTTTCTATATTTGCTGTTCATGTATGATTTTATAGAGAAGCAAATATTTTCACGAAACAATTGGGTGGACTTTAGATATATGGCAACTGGTTTCATCTTCGGTGTCTACATTAGAACAAAGAGGTTGATCATACTTATTTATATTATTGGTTTAGTGTATATTAAAAGCTGTTCATGGAAATACTCGGAAATCGTCTAATCATGTTACTTATGGTGGTATTAATAGTTTCAGCTGCACCCATATCTTGAAATTAAAAAGCTCTAACATCAAAATTTTAGCTAACTTTCGAACGGTTTGCTGACTAATTGCATTCCTATTATTGTAAATAGATTTTTAGTATCAAGCATAACTGCCACATAATTTTGATTGTCTTGCGTTTCTTTTTTCACCTCTGTCGCGTGAAAACATCTGTAATACTGTCATTCGTATTGAAGTTTTGATTTCAAACCACAGGTAAACATAATGAGCTTGTGGGTATCAATTCTAGGGTCGAATATGATAGTTCCAAGTAAATTTGTGACATCTTAATTGGTAGAAAGTTGTATTTCTAACGTTTCTTGACTTAATGTAAGTCAATTTCTATCTACTCTGAAGAAGTGGCTAACATTGAGTCACAAAACGTCAGAAATACTATTTTCTACTCAATGGGATATTATATAATAAAAGTGCAATGTATATACACATAATTGTTATTATGCTTCTGAAAACCTTAATTTGCAGATATTACGGAGGAAATGAAGTTATAAATGCTATTGAGACATTAGCGCAATCCAGATTATTAGATCTCTTCGGTCTCAGAACCCCTGGAGCAACACTTGGTGATGCTGAGTGGGGTGTTAATGTTCAGCCGTATAGTGGGTCCCCAGCGAATTTCGCTGTATATACCGGCCTACTTAATCCTCATGACAGGTTAATGGGTCTTCATTTACCTGATGGTGGTCACCTTACACATGGTTTCCAGACTTTGTCAAAAAAGATTAGTGCCACATCTATTTTTTTCGAATCTATCCCCTACCGTCTAAATGTAAGTTTCAGTATTTGTGTTTGCAGTTTAATTTAACTATGGCTTTTAGTTTTTTATTGTGTACTCTGAATAGGTGATCATAATGTTCCTGTGTACATATTTTTTGGACTGTCGTAATCCTTGATGTATTTGTTTCAGGTTTTTCAATCTTGTCTGAGCACTGTAGAAAATTTTTATCGATTAATAGAAATGTAATGCTTACGGGGATTTTACGATTTCTGCACATCACAAGATAAGCTACTAAGGTTTTTATAATATTCATGTTTCAGGTTGCACATCTATTTATTGTTCCCATTTGTAACATCACTACCCATTCTGGCACATACAATAAACACCTTTCCTGTTAGATTGTAGATACAAAATAAATTTATGTATAAAGGTACAGTTATCTATTTTCAACCGGATTTCAGTCACACTACCTGTTTACTGTTGATTTGAAAGCATTAGGTTTCAAAAGTTTGCGACATCTACTTGCTGGACCCATACGTGTTCCCATTATCTGTCTGCTTTTCTTGGTCCATGTATTTTACCAAGTAAATTGAAGTCACAGATTCCTGGAATTTTTGTATTTTTAGTTCCCACTATCAGTTCACTATGTATTGGCTGTGCTTCGATGACTAATCACCCTCGAACCGTATACGTGTTTCATACAAGCGCAATAATAATAACAGTACAGCAAGTTGTTATAGCATGGATGACTTTGTCCATTAAATAGGTCAACAAAAGACCTTGACTGAAACAAACTCAATTGCACGTGAGGCGCTATAACTACATGATTTACGCTCAATGCAAATAGTGAGTCGATTATTTGTTTACGTTGCTTTTGTGGATCCATGATAACTACTAGTTGATTACTGAGTTGATAATTTGAATATTCAAGTGGTAAATTATATAGTATCCAGACGAGCCAGTAACCAAGTGAAAACTAAGATTTGGGTTCTTTGCCTAGCTAGTCATTACTTGTATTTTTTGTAACGGGTGGATGTTTTAGTAATCCTGAAAACTTAAAAATAATTATTCCTCCATAAAATTGATTTTCATAAATATTTGATATCGTCTAGTTTGTTTGTGTAAATTATCATTTAACTGTTACTTGTTTTCTTCATATTTCTCATTTTTAGAAGGAGACGGAACTGATCGATTATGATGCACTACAACAAGATGCTCTTAATGTATTCCCAAAACTTATAATTGCTGGAATTACTGCCTACCCACGATTGCTGGATTACAAGCGTTTTCGTCAAGTAGGTTAATGAACTAACTTGGTTATCAAAAAACATATTATCGAACTGTTAATTTGGATTTTAGAATAGGAAGCAAAAGTTCATGATGAGCGCTCAAAATAACGTTTCATTGTGATAGATTGAATGTAAAACAGCATATCTCAAGAATAAGCATAATAGTCGTGCATAATATTGTGACTGAGCTTATACTTTCCACTAAATAAAGTTTATCGTATTTTCCAAAGTTCTGGCACACGAACATGAAATAGTATCGTTAAGAGTAAGAGAAATTTATACATTCTGTTGGTAATATTATTTAAGTACGAATTTCTTTAATTTGCTTCATGTTGTATAAAAGAAAAGATGTAATAGTCAGAAGCAAAAGTCCAATATCATCTACAATATAAACTGCACCATCTGTGAGTATTGATATAAAAGACACCAATTCTCCATCAGAGTTCATAATTATAAATCTTTTATTCAACGAAATGATTGTCTATGTATCCTTCATAAAGCCCCATATCTAGACATTTAAACTTGAATTCCTTAGTGGAAGTATAGAAGTTTAAATGTATGAATCTGTGTCGTAAATGAGTTTAAGATTAAAAATTTTTTAAAGCGTTTCTAAAACCCTTGTATTCACATCACTTGAGAATTTTTGTAGCAACTACCGGCCGCCTGTTATGGCTACGGAAAACTGATACTTTCTACTTGTTGCGACGGACCAAATAGTCATACGACTCTATTTTAGAAAGAAGGGAAGACTTCAGATGGGGATTTATTAGTATTGCAAAATAAATCCGCAACACATACAACTACTGATGGATTTAAATTCTTCAGTAACTAAGTACATGTAAACAGTTTACAAACTCGATTGATTTAACTTCATTAACCAACAATATAATAAATTACCGAGCTGGATATTTGGTTGTTCCTAATAGTAACTAACATACACTGACAAAAACCCATGTTCATCAGACATTTAAAGGAATTTTAAGTCACAGTCAAATGCTGTTATGGTTTAGTATATTTACAGAACCACAATCCTACTCGACAAACCCAGTAATTAAGAAAAATAAATGGATGACATAGTTTAAAGACTTGGAATAAAAGTTGTACAAATCACACAATCAGTCATCTGTATACGCTACATAGGTTTGTCTTTATCAGCAGCATGACTATAGTTATAACGACTATACTTAGTTATTAAAATAAAATAACCTCCCAAGTCAGTAACAGTTAAGTTGACCCATAGTATATCAAAAGGCAACTTTTTTGAACAGTTGCTTATAATTTGGATCTACTTACTAATAAAGAAGTCTCTTAAGTCAATTTACAGATGTCTGGTGTATCATGTGTTGATCCCTGCTGTAGTTATGTGTGTGTAACATGAGAGGTAATAATAGGATCATATCAATCGGTAAAATCAATGTGTATAATTTGAATGAATACTGAATATTTAATCATTGGAATACTTATTGGTGCACTACAAATCAAACAGTATTGGTCTATAACGAACGAAATTCTCAGGATTCAGTGTTCAGATGATTAATTTGGTTCAAAACGTTTTATGTGGGATATAAATAATGATCTGCACGTGTCAGGACATATTAAGTTTGTCACGTTTTACATTAAAACGTATTATAATGGTTATTAGATTGTAGAGCCAAATGTATGTCGAATCGAAAAATTTTTTAAGTATACTATTTATGTAATTTCAATGATGTGTGGTGTTAACATTGACTCAGTTTTTATTCGTGTTCCCAGATTTGTGATTCAGTTGGAGCTGTATTACTAGCTGATATGGCCCATATTTCAGGTCTAGTTGCTGCAAAAGTTATCCCATCACCATTTGAATATGCAGATGTTGTGAGTTCTACAACACATAAAACTCTACGTGGACCGCGCTCTGGAGTCATTTTTTATCGCAAAAAAGAGAGATCTGTGGAGAAACCTAAAGTAAACTGTTGCATTCCTGTTGATCAGTTAGAAACAAGAATAAATAATGCAGTTTTCCCTGGCCTTCAGGGCGGACCACATGAAAATGCAATAGCTGCTATTGCTGCTATGGCGTTTGAGGTACGTTATTTAGTGATACATAGCTTTTTGGGTAAATTTGTCTTTCTTTTCATTTCCCATAAATAGATGTACATGCTCATTTTCCAAACACCATGAAAATCAATACTGTTTAGACCAACACGATCAGCACTCCATGACTTGCGTGCATTTTCGGTATCCATAGTATTTTTCTTACATAAAGTTAGTGCTACGTGACAAATGATAATAAACTGTCTATTTAGTCCTTTTAATGATCAGTAATAGTGTCATTATTTATAATTAAGTAATAATGAAGTTGATAACAGTTTAATTGTTAATGACAATTTAATTGGTAATTAAAATAATTCTCTGTGCACATTTACATTTGATCTAGGCAAGTAGACCTGAATTTCAAGATTATGCTCGTCAGGTTTTAGCAAATGCTCAAGTTTTGGCTAATGCTCTTACTTCACTCGGTATCCGCCTTGTGACAGGTGGCACTGATGTCCATTTCATTCTTATTGATTTATCTAACTCACCTAGTAAACCAAAACTAGGTCGGGGCGATGGAGCACGAGTTCAAATGATTGGTGATCTTGTTGGTATTGTTCTAAACAAAAATACAGTTGTTGGTGATTCTAGTGCACAGCAACCATCTGGTTTGAGAATCGGTAAAGTTTTTAATTTTAGCTTCCTATTTACTTATTCGTACAATAAATTACACTTTTTTTTATTCAATTCTAATGGTGAATATGTCGCTCGATTTCGTGAATTAGTTGAAGTTAGACATTAACACCGCTGGATGCCGGCTCAGTGGTCTAGTGGTTAGGTGCTCGCGCGCGAAACCAGTAGGTCCTGGGTTTGAATCTCGCGGGGGACAAAATCGTGGATGCGCACTACTGAGGAATCCCACAATAGGACGGGACGGCCATCCAGTGCTCCCAGGTTTTCCATGGTGGTCTAGCTTCAACTGACTCATGATCTTGACCATTGCAATTCTAATTTATTAAAAGAATTCTTTGATCCTATTACTTCACTTAAATCATGTTATCACATTATTTTAACTGCTCTGAAATAATTAACGAAATAACCACGAACATTCCCATCTACGTACTAAAACTTTGATTAAATTTATATAGTCTGATCAGTTTCCCTTTTCAAAAATATGATAATTTCTTACATGCAAAAACCTATACCTGAATTATTCTTGGAATTAAAGTTGGACGAGACTAAAAAGAATGAAGATGTTTCGGCGAAGAAAATTTTCTTCTCGATGATATTATTTTCCGAAGCTGTACAATCGTACTTATAGGTAGCCCTTTACATTTAGTAGTCTAGAACAAAGGCGTGTTACAAAATGATCAAAGATGGTCACACACTTATTCGAGTATCGGATGTAAAAGTTTATGCAAATGAAGTAACTAAAGATTATCAGATTTTAAGTATTGAATATAATGATTAATAAATAGAAGTTTATCATCTCAAAGTATTTGAAGTTATCGAAAGTTTTCAAACATTAAATAAAATTAGCGTTACATCATTTAGCCAAGCAGTCGAACATCATGAAATGAAGTTATGGAATAATTTCGGAAGTAATAGAAATTAATTATAAAATGAATGCAAAAGACAGTTGTCTACTTTACAATAGAGAAGGTAAAAAGGCTAATAATTCTCACTTACGACTTGTAAGATTGCGAGAGGTTCTAAGGCTATCGAAGAATAAAGGATTGAGCATAACCCTTTTGTACACAGAGGTGGGGCTTAAGATGTTAATTTGCTATAGCTTCAGCTTTTCCACCCATTCTTCGTGCGAACTGTCTTCGAGTCAGTTTTTTCTTACATTGTAGATTATTTTAAACGATGACTCTCGTGATGGCATGTAACCAATGTTGGCCATGTGTTAAATGATCGAGCTGTTGATTGATTCGCATTCCCCTGTAAATATCTATGCAGGATAGTCCTCGGACATTTGTTTACCATGCACATGCTTTATACAGCCCATACAGCATGGTCCACATAACCAAGTAAAATGAATAATCCACATATAGGTAACCTAATGCGACATTCTAATCACGATTCTTCCCTGAGTGGGTTTCTTACTGGATAAAACAATTCGAAGCTCCAATGAATGAGACGCCTTTCTCAGAGATCTATTGTGTTTCTCAGTATCTCAGCAGCCGCATCTCTCTTGAATTCAGTTTTCATAAATAAAACTTTGGGACTGTATCAGTACTTTCGACTTAATGTTTTGGTTTTTACCAAAGGAACATAAGTTTCAGTTAAATAATATCGTCGAAAAGAAAATTTTCTTCGCTGAAATATCGTCATTCTTTTTAATGAATCAGTAGTTTTCTTTTATTGTTCTTGGTGGAACTATTTGATTTGAACTTTCGCTAGAATTAGATCGAACTGTTTAAAATAAATACTACACTTAGGTAATGAAAGTCATTAGATTCAATTTGTTCATATAAATATTGAGACGACTTCAAAATAAAATTATCTTAGAGCAACTAGAAGACGGAGGTCAGATATTGAGATCTTTAGAACTGACAAAGGTTTAGGGGTGATTCTTATTAATAAGTGTGACTAAAGAAAAGACGTTATCTATACTGCGTGGTCAGAGTAGGTTCCTGCAGGACGTCCCATCCAATATTAATGTTAGAAAATTGAAATCCAGAGTAGTCTAATCTACTAAAGCTTCTTAAAATGAATGGGATGAACAAAGAGGAAGTTAATTTGCCAAAACCTCCCAGTTCTGTTTTTTCAAATTTATATAGATTGCCTAAAATTCATAAACCTAATAACCCAGTACAACCAATTTTATATGTGTGGTTCTCCTACACAGAAACTAGCTAAATGGTTAGGAAAATTGTTAAACCCAATCCGTAATAAACTATGTAAGTTTTTCTTGAAAGATACGTTTGAATTAATTGATCTTCTTGAGGACATTAATAAGGATAAGACTTCGGATTCTTTTGATGTAAACTTTTACGAATGTACGGTTAACTAAGACTATGGATTTTCTTTGTGACTATATATCTACTAATTTTCCCCTTTTTCCTATTTGGTCATCATTGTTGAAAGAATTAATTTTATTATGTACTGCAAATGTCCAGTTCACGTTTGAAGACGAATATTTTCGAAAGTTGATTGTGTTGCTATGGGAAGCCCTTTGGGGCCTCTCTTAGCTGATTTATTTGTCAGATGTTGAAAATATGACGAGTATAGAAGATATATGGATGATATGCTAGTTATATGTAATAAAGATTTTGAGGTTTCCCGGTTATTAGATAAACTCAATCGGGTTCAAATCGATATCGTAATGAACTATGATGGCCAATTGCCCTTTTTAGACATGTTTTTTAGTCGAAGTGAGGATGGTACTATAAAACTGCCAGGCTGGTCAATATCTAAATTCCCAGAATTTCTGTCTATCGCAATACAAACGAGGCTTGGTTAAGTGCCCACAGATACTGTTGGAGAAGACGAAAAACTGCTGAGTGATACTAATAACAAATGGATTATCCAGTAAATTTTATAGATAGGTGCAAAAGTCAGTCAGCACTAAAACCTCTCGTTTATTTTGTTCCGAATAAAACTTTATATTTGTCTATCATTAAGAGGTGAATCTAATGGTATGGCTTTAAGACATTAAAAGCAGCTATCGTGAAAACCTATTGCGCTGCTAAACTGGTTGTGATTGAAAAGACTAAGACCATGATCCCAAATAGACCTAGAAAATGCACGAACGATTGCATCACATCCCATTTACCAATTTACATGTTTGCGGAAACACTTAGGGTGTAGTATTTGAAAAATGCAATCAAAGGTTATTTTACATGTGCCTAGGTGGCTTCAAAACCAATTAGTGTCAAATGGTCCAATCAACATTGGAGGTAGAAAACCATGTTCATCGATAGCAAAACACATAGTTGCAACGGGGCACAGAATTAACATCAGTACAGCTTTTAAAACGCTGTATAGAAATTGTCAAAGACGAACTCTTAAGTTCATAGAAGCCTTGACTATTCGTAAATTTAAACCCCACTTATGTGTACAAAAACAATTTGTCGTAACCTTGGATTTACCTTGGTAATACTTAAGTCATTTTATGGCCTAGGATAACACGACAGTTTCTTATTCTATCATTTAATTGACGTTTATTAATTTTCATATAAAAATGCCCTGACAATTATGTGTGACCAGATTATTCGAAATGTATAGCGGAAATACATCACATTTTTCGGATCAACTCCGTCTTCTAATTGCTTTATCGAAATGTAGGAAAGGGATTAATTGCTTAAAATTATCTTGATATTCACTTACGAGTGTGTTTTAAAGTTATTCATTTGATCATGAAGATAAAAAGACATATATGAGATCAAGGACCACAGAAGAATTTATTTGTTTACCTTATAGTCCTAAAAAAATTGGAAATAGATAAAATAAATGAATCTGTAATAAAACACTTGTCTATTAAAATATATTTGCATTTATGTCTATGGTATGGTGTTTACTAAAGTCAGCAGGGATTAAGTCAAGTTAAATTGTTTTATCATGTGTAACGTGTCAGTTTAAGTTGTATTAGAGAGACTTAGTGTGTTTGAAATTGTGCAATCATTTACTAGGATTGATGTGGAGTTTTTCCGTAGTGACGATTCTTCAAGAAAACTAAATTAATAATGTTAAAGCCCTCGAACAAACGGATAACATAAAAATAAACAATAAAATATATTTTTATAAATGCACACACTTAATTACAAAATATTTTGAGAGAAATAAAAACTATGGTAATCAATTTAAGTCACGATTGTAAACTACTTTTCTTTGTTGTGAACTAACGGAGTAATAAAATCAATTTTGGCTACTACGCCTAATTCTTATCTATCATGCCAGACATAGGTTGAAATAGGAGTCAATCATTAGTTTTGATCTCTCACTTATTTGTCACTAATTGTCAGGTTGTAGCTTTCGTCCATTCAGGGTGTTGGAACCTGTTCATAGATGTGCGGAAGCAACAGTCAATCTTTCTTTATGAGGCAGATAGCTTTCGAGGTGTGAGTTTCACACCTTGTTTTCTTCAAATACGATCTCCTTGACTATCTATTTTCAAAAATTGCGAGCTCTTCTTTAGTTTTCGGAATTCATTCCATACAGCGTTTAAACTTATTTGCTCTTACTGACAGCTATCTTTGTAATCTTCTTGCATATACTGCGTTGTATCCAACACACGCGACTTCATAAACATCTTTTAACTATTTTCTTGTTATTCTATTCTTGGGGTTAGTACTGAACATAGTGTTTGAAAAGTCTTCAATATCGACTACAAAATAATGTAGTCGCTAACAATACTAAGGGCAATATATATTTTCTTTTATATAGAGATGACTAATTACATTCTAGAACTACAACTCATCCAAATCTATATTCAGACTGTAGTATTTAAATAAAGCAGTCAACTTTCAACAACTGGATTCAAATCCTGCTTCATTTTTATGGGTTTGGTCAGCTTAGTAATAAAATTAACATTCGAAAAATTCATCTCATAGCTATGTAGATAATTACGTTAATTAGTTACATGAGAATTCAACTTAGAATGTGAAAGTGCTGTCGCTCGACATGTAACGCTAACGATTCTGTGTTCCACTACAATATATATATGGATAAAATGAGTAGATTTATTTGGGGTTATGTTTATCATTCATATCTTCTTATATTCCATTTAATACCATGCGTTTATTCAGATTATACTTTGAAAATATTCAGGTGATGAATTATTAATCTTTAGTTTTGGTGTTGATAATCTAGTATGTTCTTTGAATTCATTGAAAATGGAGGTTGCTGGTAAACGTTTCTTATACATATGATACGTTTCGTGATAGATATTTTTTAAAATTTTCATTCTCTAGGTACTCCAGCGCTAACTACTCGTGGGTTTAAAGAAAAAGATTTTGAAAAAGTTGCTTCATTTATTGACGAATTACTTGACCTGACAGTTGTGGTCAAGTCTGCCTCAAGTAAGATTTCCTTTCTGAGTTACTCTTTATGATATAAATATGCCAGTGTTTGACGAATCTCTAAAAGGATTTAGATGATCTGAGAAACTGGTCCTTCAAGTACAGGTATCCAAGCTTCCTCCCATTTTATATAGCTCTGATTACTAATTTTTCTTCGAACCATTCTGATTATTTGTACCAGTTTTCAATACGTTAGTACGTGTTGTAAGTTGACTACATTTTTGTATGAACCTGTCATATTTCATGTCGATACGTTTGTTTCATGATATCGTGACTTCAACTAGGTTTATTTATTTACGATAGGAATATGAATGAATCCGTTACTACAGGATCTATACAAATTCATCATAATTATCCTGAAACATAATTCTACTATCTACGCCTTAGAACAGCCACCAAAAGACTACTGCTCCTTTTGCTTTATGTACTTAAACTGTGATCACATTTCGTTTCTATCATGTAGGGAATTCATAGTTGACAGACCTCTTCAGGTACATTGGCTATGTCTCCACTTCCCATCGGCTTCTGGCACACGATACTATTCTGAGGATTTTCCATATGATGTAAACGTAGACTATCGAAGGGAACGATTATTGGTACGATATTCGTTTACACATAGACTGATATTGAAATAATATCACTATTTCATTTATCCTTTCTCAGGTATACATTCATTAAAGCTCGATTTTGATTACTACGAGTCTGTGTGCATGTATTTTTGTTTTTACTGTAATCTTATTTGTATGAAAAATATGGTTTATGGTACACAAACATGTACTATGATAAACAGATTCTTATGATCAAGTTCTTTTTATGAATTAATAAATCTTTTTGTCGTTTCAGAAAATCTTAAATCTTTCCAAATTACCCTTCAAAAAGATGAGCTCATAAAATCCAAGATTGAGGATTTACGTCATCGTGTTGCTGATTTCGCATCTAGCTTCCCAATTCCTGGAATGGAAGATATCTGAGCAAATCTATGTACAGATAATATCGATTTTCATCTGCTACTTTGTATTCCAAATATTAGTTTAATACTACTGTCCAAACTGTGATCAGATTTACTTATGTTCTGTGAACTTTTGTATCACTTGTGGTGTGATAATTGGAATTTTCTTAAGCTTTGTTAAATTCCTAGTTTAATGTTATGACTATGTTTTGTTTGTATAATCACCCAGTAAATAAGTTGTTTAGTCATTTTGCACTATTTCACTACTTTAATGTTATAGCTAACATAACTGTGACATCAGTAAGGGTGCTCATAACTTCATAGTATACCGTCTTTTAGTTTGACGAACTTATAGATTATTACTCATTCGGTTTGATTTTTTCGGGTTTCTTTTGGGAAAGTAGCAATCAAGCTTAGTCAGATAGGCACCCTTCAAGCCCCTTTATATTTTGAAGAGAATCTAATGTTACAAGACTCAGTATTAGTATTTATTGCCTTGGATAACCTTAAATTATTACCAGATCTATAAAAATCACCTAATTCTGACACAGCTTCTCAACTATACAGATGCCTTTGGACGTATCGCCCCATTTTCCCTTATTTTGAAAATAATCTAAGGGATTTTGAAGATGCCGAAAGCCGAGTGAAGCCCCATTCGTGTTCTATCTAAATATAGTGATTTCACTGATACAATCGAATTCAATTAGCGTAAATATATCGTCTTGTTTACCATTCAGAAAAATCACTAATATTTACACTTGTTATTCATCCTTGTATCACTCATGTTAGCTCCTTATATATTGCGAAGGGGTTATCACCTTATTCTTATTTTCCTCTTAAAGTCAATAAACAACTTATCGGTTTCCCTGTATAGAAATCTCAAAAAGATAAACTGGATTTATTATTCCGGACTACTGAATATTCGTAACTGGGAAGCTTGGTTCTTAAGTAGTGGCTTGAACGCAGTTCTAATGGCGCTTTACGTTAATTTCGAGTACTGCTTTGTTCAAATTGTTCCATGGTACTTCTGTAAACCTATACATAAACAAATCAATAAGAACCAAGCCACGCTACCTCAGCCCACAGTTCCATTAATCTGGGGACTTCAGCTCTAGTGACAATTCACCAAGTTCATGAAAAATTTGCACCGACAAAATCGATCATTTTACTAGAGAGGGGTGTGATTTACCGACTATTGAAAAAAATGACTAAATCCCCCAAACTATTTTTCGCTTCAGATTTTTCTTGTTGGAGTAACGCATATTACAGAAAGTCATTTCAAGGGACTCCAGTATATATATTTTTCATTCTTATGCAGTGAACGGGGACAACCGGGTGTATTTCAATACATTACAAAATATCTTGCTAAGACCTCGAAACCATACAGTAAATACTACATTCGCAAAACTTCAATCAGTCGTATCAGACTTGATTGTTCCATCGTCTCCACATCAATCACTCTCTGTCCTCGTTCACTTCTGCCTCTATGTATTCCATTTTCGACTGGTGATACATACCACTTGTGTCTGTCAACATCAATAACACAATGTTTACACTGTTGATATTGTATTTAAAACTCCTAAACCTTTCACACGTACCGTAAGGAAACTCGGTACGATTGTCTTAAACTTTGGACTTATCGGCAATGATATAAATCTATTAAAATACTCTGGTAGACCTGTGGCCAACAGTATACTCTCTCATTCTCTTAAAAACGGCCCTCGAATTACCCCGCTCTCGTCATTACAAATCTGGCTCTAATTCAGACGTGTCTGTACATCGTCCTGTTAACATTATCTTCGTCATTTCATGCACTTTGGTTATTAACCATGGTTTCATAAAATCTCACCTTGAATTCTCCGACTACATAACCGAACACAAATAACAGGCCTGTTATCTTTGTATTATACTGCGCAGAACATTCCTCATGGCCTGCTGTTTTTGGAACTATAATATTGAGATACAAATTCTACCACTACTCTGTCTTGATTCCTAATTTAACAATCGAATCTACGTACTAAGCTCGTGTATTTCGGAATCTATCTGTGTTATCAGTGGAGTCATTCTTGGTAGTATACTTGGTCCACGAATTTACTCAATTTTGTCAATGTGTGATTCTATCTAGTACTGTAGACTTATCCTTCACACTGGTTACCTCAAAACTATACACACTTCTCCAAGTTATGTGCAAACTGGGATGGAATATAAAAAGGAAGACATCTAGCAATTGCATAACTGGTACCAGACCAGGAATATGAATCCTAATAAAGATATATATATATATATATATATATATATATATATATATATATATATCAAACCCTCAATAACATTTATCCACAACATGACTCAGTAACAGATATGTTTTACAAATAAAAGAGGTCATTGGTCAACAGACGTTCAACGATGACCTGTTAAGACAACTCTTATTGTCTAAGCTTCCTCAGCAGGTTCAGGCAGTGCTTGTCTCATTCCAAAACAATTCTGTAAACGAGATGGCTGCATCTGTCGATAAAATTCTGAAGTTCATCAGAAATTCGAACGCCAAGGTTTTTCAGTCAAAGAAAAACCTAAAACTACATGAAATGACCTTACGGACAGATAACTCCGATTTGTGCTGGTATCATAATCGGTACGGAAAATCTCAAAAATGTAGAAAACCCTGTAATTTTTCACGCTCATACTGGACGACAATCTTCTCAGCCTGTACGCGCTAACGGCAACTGTAGCCGGCGAACATAGCCGTATGTTACACGTCCTTGGTGTGATTACGAAAGTCCGCCACCACGTCCACATTGACTCATAAGTTGTCGTTCTTCCAGAGGATTCTAATGACCGAATGCATGAAGCAGTTTTCAACTCACAGGTGGCAAACTGGAATCAAATCGCCATGTAAGGTAAGCGATATGTTTACCACAACGTGAGTTTACGTAAACCCATCCACTGAATTTTCGTTGTTGCTGATGTCTCTATGACGATCATCGATACAGACCTGCTATATCATAATTTACTCATCGATATATGCAAACGGAGGCTAGTATACTGGATGTAAGATCCATTTCGAAGGTTTAAACCTTAGTTCGATTTCCACAGAAAATACTAATTGATCTGTGTGTGTAAATTCTTTTCCGGTTATAGTTTATCCACAGTCGCGGCAAGGCACACGATCAATCCATAGTATAAACAAATCCTCGAAAATTACAAACCGAGTTAGCCATGTGTAACCAGTAATATTGTACATCACATCACGACTACAGGCCTACTTGTGTTCTCGAAAGCGCAGCGAATAGCTCTTGAAAAGCTGCGGTTGACTTAAAACGAATTCGATCATATGACAGACTCAAGAATCTTTCGACTTAATAAATGCTGCACGAACTCTTCGGATATTCATCGATGAAAATTTCCGACGTCTCAAATTTTTCCATGTATGTTGATGACTGCGTAGGGCCGATAAAGTGTCGCTGAGCGCTAGCCGACAGTTGGGTCACTGAATGTCGAAAAGACCATCGTTCACTGTTAGGGTCAAAACAACAGTTAATAGAACATCATGGACACTCATGCAGCCCATGATCGATTGCAAGTCCGGAAACAGAGTCTCATCTCCAGCATCTGGACATTGTCTTCGAAAGAGTGTACGAGTGTTTTTTGACATGCCATTACATGTCTTTTTTTCTTTTCCAGGACGGCTGAAAAAGATAAAAGAACAATGAACTTTACAATGAATCGAAGATTTCATTGTACCTGTTTTTCATTAGTATTTTGTACCACATATCCTTTATGGTAAGGAAAGACGACAGGACACTGCTGAACATAGTAAGATACCAAATTGATGTTTACCAACGATAAGCTCGTTGGGTTTGTACTTCTGCCTAAATCACGTCACAAGTGACACCACTGCCACGCTAGCGAGAAGTTAGCTCTAACGACAAAAAGATCATCAGAATAGATAGTTATGTGAGTATTTGACATTGACACTGACCTCACTAGGTTTTCTGACCACACCTAGCTGAAGACGCACAGTCACGCATCCGTATCAGATTACGATTGGGTAAGTTTTGTTACGCATCGTTTGCAACTACTAGACTGCTTAGACCAGACGTTTCTCTACATATCGACAGCTTCCCAAACATATCTTCCAATTTCCTCATTTCTGAATTCTGGTTTGATTGCGTTAGTATACATCGGTTATAAAGGTGTTACGTGCAAAGGCGCTGTGATATTTCGAATACCGGTGGTATCTTTAGTTCGTTGATATTGAAACGTGATCCTCAATGAGTGTTTTTTCACATATTTTCAGGCTGATCGAGTCAAATACCTTGTTTGGTGTTAAAAAAATATTAAAGATAATATAAAGTCGAAAAACTGATGCCATATATAGACAAAAATTCCTGACTTTGTCCTCGAAGCATAACTGACGAAACACTATTGAGATGTAAGTCGTCAGACCGTTAAGCGCACGTCGTGGACTGTCCCATAAAGTAGTGAACGCACTTTGTTGATCTTAAATACAATTACAAATATATTTCTATAATAGCTTCCTTTGAGTCACAAGTTTTTCAAAGTAGCCATTAAATTTTGATACATGGAGAGGTTAATTAGCAATAGGTGTTGATCGTGGGGTATGACTTTGAAGTTAGCTAATTGGTCACATTATTCCCGTCTAACTCGAGTAGGTCTCTGATCACTTGACACAGAACACCTTCGTTGGTGATCTACATATCGATAATTGCATAATTCTGGGTCCTAAGCAACTGTTCCACCTGTTTATAGATTTTGACATCGAGTCACTTATAAATTGTCTAAATAGATATCGGTCTTACCCATATATTTGAATTTATTCAGATTTTCCAGCAGCCCTATAATTCAAAGTACAGCTCCAGGACGATTATGCATTTCCGATGAGTAGGTTTGAGGTTTACACTAAACTGACTTAAAAAAGACGGCTTTTTAACAAAATCTATTTACGTCCGTATGACGTCTGGAGATATGACACTTACGTTGAGCTTCAGTCGTGTGGTTTATGAATGGATTCTTCCTCAGTTTCAATGGCAGTGTCGGGTAGGACACTAGGTTTTCTACAAGTGTGGCTTTGAAACTTCCTGAATGCTTTGAAAATACTCGGAATTCACCTTGGAGACAGTGCATGTACCTTTATTGTTCTGCTTGGTACATGGTGTGTAGCTCAAATGAACGTGTAGGATATAATCCGTTTCACATACTCTTAGTCATAAAGTTGACAAAGGATTCTATGCCTCAATTTTATGTGAATAATTGTGGTCATGAATTCGTCACTGTTAAACCATCATTGAAAAATGTGCGGCGCTGGACGGCTGTTTCTCTAAAGTCACACATTAACAGCGTTGAATGCCGGCTCAGTGGTCTACAGGTTGTGCTCGCGGAAGGTCTTGCTTTCGACTCTCGTGTATGGGATCGTGGATGCGCATTGTTGGAAGTCTCATGCTAGAACAAGATAGCCGTCCAGTACTTCCAGGTTTTCAATGGTGGTCTAACAATCTACGCAACCCTATACTGACGAAATGCTTAAATTGACTTCTGAGCCAGCTGAATTCGCAGCATCCTATTAACTAACAACTACGAGAAAGATAAGTGTAGTGGATGCCTAGTACAACTTCATTTGGCTGCCTTCTCGTTTCCGATATAGATTCCTAGCGAAGCTGGTGTTTTCGAAAGGAGAATGTACGAACAGTCGTTTAAGGTGGATAAAGGTCTGAAATTCATTAGCATTGTTATAATGTGAAAAAGTTGAACAGTTGAGAGTTGGCCGACACCTGAGCAATGCTAAGGATTATATCTCAATTAAACATTTAGTTCCTTATTTTGTGTAGTTCTTATATTTCCTACTATTTTACATTGGTCATTGAAAACGATATTCTCGCACTCTGACTGTTATGTCCCGCGATCTGAATAAAGACGTCTTTACAGCTAAAGATGCCACAGGTATTCGAAATATCACAGCGCCTTTGCACGTAACACCTTTATAACCGATGTATACTAACGCAATCAAACCAGAATTCAGAAATGAGGAAATTGGAAGATATGTTTGGGAAGCTGTCGATATGTAGAGAAACGTCTGGTCTAAGCAGTCTAGTAGTTGCAAACGATGCGTAACAAAACTTACCCAATCGTAATCTGATATGGATGCGTGACTGTGCGTCTTCAGCTAGGTGTGGTCAGAAAACCTAGTGAGGTCAGTGTCAATGTCAAATACTTATAGAACTTTATATTTTAAAGATATTCTATGACCACATGCTAAAAATATTGATCTCGGAAAACTCATCGAGATATTGTTTCTTATAATTGGAGCAAACGAAATTGTCTAATGAATGATGCTGTCTGTCCTTCAGATTTTTCGCTTAATTAAATGTGACCTTGTGTCCAGTGTTCCCATCAGAATGTGAATTCGGCTGAGTTGCTCAGCAATATCTTAGAGTTTTGTTAGTTGTTTAAGTAGGAAACCTAACAGAAGATAGTACCACGAGTATTTTCACACGTGGTTCGCAATCTTTCATGATGCTGTCAGCAAACATTTCACAGTTATCAACAATTTGTTGTGTCAATGATGTAAGAAATATCCTGCAGATGTTAGGTTTACCACTACCAGTTGAACTACGTGCGTTACTCTTGCCGAGTAGTTTATTTGCATTTCTAGAGATGTTGATGATGCCTAGGATTCTGCGTAATCCCGCCAACCAGATTCGTTACTCAGATGTTATTTTATATGCAGCTTGTGCACTGGATTCTGCAACGGTGACTTCTTTCGAGGCGAGTTCCGGACTAATCAGATATGACTGTAAGTGTGGTGCTTTCTTATACGTGAAGTTTTTCTTGGAGGGGCTTGTAATCCCACTACTTGGAGGAAAGAAGTGGCTATTCCGATTCTCGACCGTCTTGGTCTCACATATTATAATCCGGTTAGTTGGAGTTCATTACATTTTTTGAGTGGGCCATCGTCCTCATTATCGTGGTGCATATGAAATATAAACTAGTATTACTTTAATTAATAGCTGGGTTTAAATTTATTGGGATGAATCCGACTAGGGTTCTTATAATTGCCACATACTTCACGAAAACTTCTTAGCCATTTCGCAGCATTAAAAATTTCGTATCTCTTTAAGGGTATCAGAAAGCTGGTCTATTATTCCATCAGCATAACGTTAAGTGCATCCTTTTTATATTCGAATATTTTGTATCAATGACACTATAATTTATGGACGATTACTGAGTGGTTTTAAGGTAACATTAAGAGTATTTATCTACCTAATAGGATCAAAAAAGGTTTGTGAACTAGTGTGATTAGTTAGTATTAGGAATTGGGTTTATACAGGGCTAGAAACTAGAGTTAAATTTCTCACCTCTCTCCTAAATCATTGACTTGTTCATAATTTATAGTCTCACCTGTAAATCTGCAAAAAGTAAGGAAATGACATGTTTTAGGTGAACCTGAATTCGATATACAATTACCAATGAACTAGCGTCATTAAACACGGCCACAAATTTTAAGCTGTCTTTATCTTTCTTCCATAAATGTGTATCTTGGTAACTCAATATAGGCCCATATATCAGACTTCGTATTATTTATTGTGAGGATTAATGATGCTCATCAGCATAAACTGCAGTTTGTGTGTTTATACTGGGGATGATCATGTTACAGATTTTAGCATTATGTAATTAATTATAAGTTTGTAATAATTAACCTATTGATCAGTCTTACTCTTGTATGGTTTATAAGTAGCTACACACTCAATTGTTTGGCATTTTGGATTTCATAGTCACATTATCGTGTTATTCTGGCAGTCGTCATTCGGTGCTTCCGCTAGTTTTTATTTAAATTAACATGACATAGAATTACTATGGATACGTTAGTTAATTCATTTACAACGGACATGTATCCAATATTTCTGTTTGTCTACACGTTAGTTTTCTAAAATGTTTTGTGTTGAGATTTTTGAGATCCATAACTTAAATTATCATGGAATAACACTAAAATGTACTGAAATCTGTCAGTCAGTTTTAAGCAACTAAGGTCTTGGCACAATTGTTCGTCACCGCAAGTTACACTTCACAACGACGTGGATGGTAAGGGTTGGTATGATGAGGAAAGTAGTCAAAATAGTAGTGATATCAATAGTTGTGAAAAACTAAACTTGAGAATATAGTCCAAAGTTCGCATAGGTCAGGTAGGCTTTTTTGTCTTTGTCAAGATTACGTAGATAAAGCTTCTAAAATAATTCGGCTAATGAACTCATTCAATTACTTTACTACTTATAGTTGGGGTAAAAATTTATCATAACCAACATTAAGGTAATATTTCGCGTGTAGAAGGGTGGGTGACATCTCATATATTTTTCTGGATTTTTAAATGATTCAACTTTCATACACATAATTCCCTTTTTCATATTGAAGAGAGCAAGAACAAATATTTTAGCAGAATAACTAAGATTCACTTTGTCAGCATTTTAGTGAAGTAACTATTGCATGCGTTCGTTAAGAAAATGAGTCTCCTAGTAGACCAATCCTTGGAAACTTAAAGAAAAGGGTCATTTATCTTTTTGAGTTATTAGACTTCCACCTTAATGGTTTATAAGTTGTCAGTTGTAATCCAGCCTTCAACTTCGCTGGTACGATCAAGGGTGGGGAGAGTCAGCTCTCCCTCTTGAAATACTCTCATATGGCCACGCGTATGCAGTCACTGTCAGGGTAGTCCTTCTCACTGCCTTCTCGTGATGGTGGTGTTGTTTACGAACTTGAGAGGACGAAAAGCGAATATCCGATTTTCGTTAGGGTTGTCCACTCTATCCATTTCTCAGTCAGTCAGTCAGTCAGCTACAACGTAGGACCAGGCACATATGTGCATCGGTCCAGGTTGCCATACCGCATCAACACAACAAGATGAACACCGGATTCATAACAGTGGTTAGGTGAAAGGTGGTAATATATAAGAGAAAGATTGCATATAGAGATATAGTACAAGCAGAAAGAATTGGTTCGTAGAAAGATATGAAGCGATTTTAATCTCATAGTTTAAGGGAAGACAGGGAGTGTATACACCGACGCCATTGTGATCGATTCTGAGCCATGTCACCAAGAGTCTCCAACCATTGGTTACCATAGTCACGCGGACCCCAACCAAGTAGTCTGCATCTACCAACATGGCTCACACTAGAAGTTAGTGACTTCAAGCACTGATGCCACGTTTTGGTTTGGCCGCCCCTAACTTTCTTCCAACCATTTCCAATACCGGATAGCATTGCACGTCGTGGTAATCGGTGTTCAGGCATACGTAACACGTGGCCCAACCATCTCAGTCGATGAAGATTCATAACCTCATCAACTGATTTACCATCCTTTCCTAATACCCTGCGTCTAACCTCACTATTACTTACCCGGTTATCCCAGCAGACGCCAGCAATATTTCTTAGGCATCTGTGGTCAAATACTAATAGCTTACGAGTGTCTTCTACTCTTAATGGCCATGTTTCGCTGCCGTAAATTAAAACAGAACGGACTGCCGCGCAGTATACTCGTCCTTTTATTGATAGACGGATATCTCGCCTTCGCCATTTCTAGTCTCATTTGTACTGATGATCTGATGTCTGAAGAAATTATGGGACGTCACTTCTAGCATAGGCGAGATATCTGTATTCCAGCCAAAGAACAAGTTTACTGTGCAACAGGTCGCCCCGTTCTATGGTCATGGCTTTTAAAAATAGAGTATATTTGTAGGTTACTAGAATTCAACCATAGGTGCCTACAAAGCATTACTCGTAAATTTTGAGACCACAGAGTAAGTAATGCATGGGTTAGGGGCAGAGTACTAGGTAGGGATGCGAGGTCGATTGAAGAGGTAGTAAATATGCAACTGAGGTTCGGACATGTGTAACGTATGCCTAACCACCGCCTACCTTGACAGGAGATGTTGTTTGGTGTAGGAGCGGGCTAGAAGAAAGCTAAGGGCAACCAAACTAAAAAATGGAATCAGTCCATGAAGTCACTGACAATTGGAATTACCCATGTTAGAGTGTAGAGGTCCACGTAATTATCATAACCAATAGCTAGTGACTTTAAATGACATGGCTTAAGACCGTTTGCAATGGCATAGGCGCATCCACTCTTTGTCTTTCCCCAAATTCTAAATTCCTCATGATATTTTTCCCCGTTATTTCGTTAATTCATATTTTCTTGAATCGTATAATCGATCTTTCTTATTACCGCTAATACAATAACTTTCTCCACCATTCTAGGACTTGACCTTAAGATTTCATCTGTGCGTTAATAGGGTATGGCAACTTGGACCATGTACATATGTACCAGGTTCTACGTTGTAACTGACTGACTGAACTGCTTGCACACATCTAACAGCATTCAGATCAATATTGCTTAAAACCAAACTACTGAATTCCTATTATGTTTTCATCTTATTATCAGCCCCTTTTTTTGCTTAATTTGTTTCTGAATGGGTAATCAGTGCTAAAAACACAAGATCACAAAGTGTTATCTTTGTTGTCCGAAAGCCATAACCCAGATGACAAGTAGAAACCCATAGTTTTCGAACTCTGCCTTAAACTAAACAACAAAGTTTAGTAAACAAGACTATAATACCAAATACCATCAATATATGTTATCTTCAAAACCTACATACAGAACTAAATGTGGTCATTCACTTAACCTCACCCAATCAGTGCGGCGAACACGGTTCTCCTATCGTAGATATGAGGATTGCACATCAACTTATAATCTTTCAGTGCAGCACTAAGTTTGAAGATAAGACGTATACTCTTGAACTGGGTTATTTATTTATTTGAATGAATAAACATTGATACCAGGGGTCACCAAATACATATGCGCCACACAATAGCAATGAGGCAGTTATCATTGATTTGTGCGAGGTCTGGAATACTACCCGGTTGCCGAAACCAAGGCAGGTGAATTTCTTAGGGGGCCGCACTCCGAGCTTTTGGTCTGAAGTCTTATCCACAGTGGAGGAGATGCAGTCCCATGGCAGCCGGTGACCAGCAATTGATTCATGCGCCAGTTGTTCCCTCAGGATCCTGGAGCCCATGTGCAACATTAGTTTAAGATCAAGGTTTCCCGACTCTCCTAGGTGAAGCCTCCATATCCACCAACCCGGTTAAAGTGTCAGACATTCGATTTTCGTCCTCTCAATTTCGTAAACAACACCGCCATCACGAGAAGGCAGTGAGAAGGACTACCCTGACAGTGGCTGTATACGCGTGGCCATATGAGAGTATTTCAAGAGGGAGAGCTGACTCTCCCTACTCTCGGTCGTACCAAGGCATGTGAGGACACTTGGCTTTTCTACATCCAGTAAGACGCAAACATATACATGCTCAAATTAGAGCATGCTCTGAGTCTAAACATGTGCTCCAGAATTAGCAGCAGTCTTTAATTGATCTCCTCGAACGATGGTTGATAGCGATGTCATCTATTCGAGCTCATCGATTAGTCGGTTGCGGAGGTCGCCACGTCAAATGATGTTTCTTTTTGTGTTTAAAGTTGGCGTTTGTTAGAAATAGATGATCATCTGAGCATAATTGCAACAGACGTTTATCATTGTCTGTTTGCCTAGACGAAACCGTATGATTCTCACATGTACTTTTTGGTTTGGTTTAATTTACTTGAGCATTGAAATCACCCTTCACTATTACCACATCAGTGCGTTTAACTTTTTGAAGGAGGTAGGGTAACGTCCTGTGGAATTCATTTTTAACCTTATCCGAGCTGCAATCAATAGGAGCGTAGGCGAAAACAACGAAAAGGCAACGGCCTGTGTTCCTGTCTTTTCGAGTTCTCACTGTCCCGTTTAGTCGGACAGCGCACAAGCGACTGTCTATTGGAGTTCAGTCTAACGGAGCCTGTACTGCTTTTAAACTGAGTGAGGACATGGGAAGTGGCTGTTGAGACTTCAGATACACAAAGGGTAAATGGTGCTGGTCTTTTATGTTGACAACATGAGAAAGGGCACACCAACTTCAAGGGTAACATTTTCTATCCACTCATATTTTTATGAAAATGACATTCCTTAAACTTCTGGCTATCTATGGAGGATACCACTGTTATGTTTCAATATGGAATCACGACAGATTTAATCTGATGAATGTAGTTTTGATTTAGACTTTATATCAAGTTGATGTAATCACTTCACTGATGCCGTCGAGTATATAATTAGCTTTCAACTTTACTTCTTATTTACAAAGTGTAGCAGGTAGATGACTGGTCGCCTGAACTCATGGAACTGGAAAGGAAGGCAAAATCAGTGTCGGACATACTATTGTTTGTTTTTGAGAACTGGAGAACAAGAGGATTGGTCAGTCTTTTGGAAGCTACATACCTTGCTTCTCAAAAAAAGCCGCTAGTTTTATGTGTATCTAAAGTGGAATGCACCGATTTTCCTTCAGCAGCTGGTGAAAATATTTCCAAATTGTAAGTTGGTTACTTATTTTTTCATGATAGTGATTGATATCTTGGGTACGCAATATACGATATTAGTTAGGGTGTTTACTATAATGTATGTATTTTATGAAAAAAACACATCCAAGTTTAGTTCGGTAACTTTTATTTAGTTCATATAGTACATTTTGAAGCGGATGAAACACTTTCGTTATGATTATTCATCATGTTCCTGTGTAAGCTGGGATGGTCTTCTGATATCCAGACCACTGTGCAAACTTTAGACTAATCCATAAGGCACTGAAACAACCTCAGGATATCCAATCCTATTGTGGCTGGTGACTAAAATAGGTTCAAATGCCATCCTTTTCTTCCGGATCCTTGGGCTCCATACATTTGGAATTAAGGTTTTCTGACCCTAGGTAAACCCCTCGTATCCATCAACACTTGCTTTTCGTGTTCTTACTTGTATTAATGCACATCACTTTGTCGAACTTACATGTTAGAAGCTATAAACGCGTGACCATAAAGAAACCTTTAGAGAGGAAGAGTAGAGTTTTTAGATGGTGGTTGGAGGTAGTCAACAGGAAACCCTGGATCCGGGTTTCGTGCTACTTGGCACTCGTCAGCAAGGTGTACCTGTAATCTTGAGGGAACTGGTGCTCCCTGGCGGATTTGATCTCGTGTCACCCAGCTTCACAGTCAGAGACGTTACCACTGAGCTATCCGAGCTGTGACTAACCTCCTGTAGGACTGAGATGTAATCACAATTGATTGATCACTGGGTGGTGATCAATGTCATGCTTGTCCAGTCCTCATTAGTGCAGATCCAATGCTATCGATCATGTTGCAATGTGGCCACCAGTCTAGGTGACTCGAGACCCGGGTCCAGGGTTTCCTGTTGACTACCTCCAACCACCATCTAAAATTTTAATACATAGTGCCCGCAGTGTCGAGTCACCTAGACTGGTGGCCACATTGCAACATGATCGATAGCATTCGATCTGCACTAATAAGGACTAGACAAGCATGACATTGATCACCACCCAGTGATCAATTGTGAAGAGTAGAGTATTATAACCCTTGGGGGATACAAGGAGATTTAGCGGTGAAAATATTAACTGAACTGTATCTCATCAAATATTATTCTTATTCATTTATTCATTGATTGTACGACCCTTTTTAGTATTTTTTTGCAATAATATTTCATTTTTGTAGTTTAGTTTTTAGATGCTTTGTTACACTGAAATTAATCTTTCAAATAAGAGAGTAATCTCAATTCAATTTTTAATGGTTTTGGTCACCCCTTTGTTGATATTTTGATTCAGATTTTTTCAATCTTAGTTGGCATATGTACATCCTGTGCGGATTGGCTCGATATAACCATTATGACACAAACTTGTATAGAATAGATGGAATATGGCTAGCGCTATAATTCAGGACTCGTGTTTCATCCTGTTTGTGGTTCATCAGCTGGGTGTGTGAATTTCGAATCCTAGAGTGAACATCAAATTCAAGATGCAGGTACATCCATCCGGCGAGTTCTAAATAGGATGAAATACCCGTCCTGGATTCCACTGCTAGCCATATTTAATCTGTTGTATATACAAAATCATAAAAGTGCACATTTGGACCACATTTCTTCCAGACTGTTGAATGTAGTAAGATGAGGGGTTAATTTGAAGTATGTTACTCGTTTATCGTCAATAGAGTAGTTCAACCACTAAGAAATTTCCCCGAAAATTATTATCATCTGCTTCTATAGATTTCTAAATTTTATGTTTGTTTTGATGGGAAAGACATTTAGTACAGAGAAACAACAGGGAATATGCTATGCTAAACGAGATAATTTTACGAAGAAACGGATAGGACAATCATATGGTAGTGGTAAATTACTTAGGCAAAAGATCCTATTTCTATAAGAATACACTCATTTTGTAATATATCCTTGATTAGGATATGAACTTCTGATGTTTTACAACCTTATAGCGGTCATTGAATAATTTTAACAAGTTAACGGTGTCGTTTTTACTGATTTGCGTGTACCAATCTTTTGTTATAAGTCAAGATGTTTTTACGTCTATAAAAATGTGAAAATGGTTTATAAAAGGCTGAGGCCAGATTCTTCTCAACTAACTGTGTTTATACTTCACTAGATTTGTCTTGGTTTTTTTTAAGGGAATATCACTTCTTAGAAGAGGCTATGAATTGTTTTATTCAATTGATTAAGCGTCTCAAGATACCATGTTTTTCAGAAGTCGAAACTGCTGTAAATTATGCGGTATATAATAGTCATTTAGTAAGTTGCTTTATTAACTTCCTTGATTGTTTCGTTAGTGGAACATTTTTTGATATCAAATTAATGAACTCGCTCATTAATCATGTCTGTTAATTTACAGTATACACCCATTGAATTTTTAGAAGTTTCCATATTGAATTGTTATGGAAGATAATTATGTGATTTGTGATCAGTAATGTTTCGGGACTGTTAAGTGAGTGGATACAATACTAATCTATAGATAAAGTGTAATGATACGATGCTGTTGTGCTGATTGCTCACGAGTTTGGTTTATTGATTCAAACTGTTGATAAGACCACTAGCCGACATAATAGGTTTTCCTACTGTTGGGGACGATAGATCCCCAAACTCATATTTTTAAATTTTATGGCATCGATCAACTTATTGATTAAATGTTTAAATATTGTATTGGGGTCAATGGATGAACTGATTGATTAAATGTTTGAATAGCAGTCAATAGATGAACTATCGATTCAATGGGCAAATAGGTCAATTAATGAACTCATTGATTAGTGTTTAAAAATTTTTTATGACAATATCGATTATATATATATATATATATATATATATATATATATATATATTTGAAATTGTGTTTGCTTGCTCGCTCGTTTCCTCGCTGTTTGCAGAATATATTTTCCATACCAAGCCTGGACTTCTCCTTCTAGATAGCGGGGCTGGGACGCGTCAATAGTTAGATCACTGGTCTTTGGTCACTGAGTATTGTTCTCGTTCGCAGTTTAAGTGAACTCGTGAAGTTTCAAACATAACGCCTACCTAATAACATGCTTACTCGTAAATTAATAACAACAAAATAAACACAATTGGATGCTAAGATCGATTAAAGGATATCGGTTTTGTAGATCATTCAACCTTCAATGATTTACGACCTGAAAATTAGGTCTTATTCTTTACCATAAGTCTCTTCTGTGGCAACGTTAGTGAAATAGTGGTGCTCTCCATTTATTTCAAGTACTCTTCAGTTTTTATGAAGGTTGCCCCACTAACGTATCGCAACTGCACTATTATTACAACATTTAATATACACCTATACTACTGTCTGATTAAAAAGAGTAAAGAAACGTTTTATTTCACCCTATTCCTCCTCTTAAGTATGTACATTTTTTATACCGTAATTTGATCTTCAACTATATGAACACTTAGATTGTTTCTGTTCTGTTACTGAGAGCGTCATAGGTTTTCTTGAACCTTTTGTTGTGTGGCATGTTCGAGTGATCTGGTGCATGTAGAGTAAATTCAGCTAAATGTGTTTTGGATTGCTAAAATAAATGAATAGAAAGTTGTTATTGTTATTATTATTATTTGAACACATAAATATTGGTAAAAAGGGGCACTAAATATATATATATATGCGCCACACAAAACATTCAGAATGGGAAGACAAAAAAAAGAAGGTAAGGAACGTATAAGAAAAAAAAAGAAGAACAATAACGACCATAGATTTGTGTAAGGTAGTGTAGTAATAGTAATAATAATGGGTGAAACGGAAAGGTACAACCAGAAGAATTCTTTCAGTTAAGGAAGATACAAGTACTTTTTATGAAGAAACTAAAAGAAGGTTACAGCAGGATCGCAACTGGCTTCTATTCTGAGCCATATCTGATAACGTCTCTAGCCACTGTGCTGCACCATTTCTAGGACCCCAACCAGGGAGTCGTGAAGGACCAACAGAAGTCAGCCTTTTGCAGCTTTCTTTCATACCTCGACACCATGTCATGCACTGACCACCTCTCCGCTTTTTCCAACCAGTCCCAGCGTCGGCAAATAATGCACGACGTGGAATTCTCTGGGACGACATTCGTAGAACATGTCCAAGCCACCGAAGTCGATGTTTCAAGATGGTGACACCAATTGAATTATCGTCTCTGTGCCCGAACACACGATGCTGAACCTTTGCATTACTAACATGGTGTTGCCACTGGATGTCAGCAATCCTTCTGAGACAACGATGATCAAACATAGAGAGTCGTCTAACATCCTATACTTGGAGAGGTCAGGTTTCACAAGCATAGAGTAAAACTGCTCTCACCCACGCGTTGTAGATCCGACCTCTTACAGCCAGACTAACATCACGAAGGTGCCAAAGGTGGCCCAGATTGGCATAAGCCACTCTGGCTTTCACTATACTTGCATTGATCTCATCACTCACGCCACCACCAGCACTTATGCAGCTTCCTAGATACACGGACTTCTCGACTACTTCTATCTGCTCACCATCCAGAGTGAGTATAGGATTAGTCATGCCAGTCTTGTAGAATTACTTTGTACTTCAAAGGTGCAAAGCTCATACCGTACCTACGGACACTGATTGCCAACTGATTAAGTGTGGGTCGGTCATTATCGCACAGTAAGACAATACCATCCACATACTCAAAGTCGAGAAGTCTTTCTCCAGACAACAGATCCACACCGCCATTACTTACATCCATCAGAGCTGTTTCCAGAATGTCATCGATGGCAAAATTGAAGAGGAATGGTGAGACTTGGCAACCTAGTTTAACCCCACTGCTTGAGTGGAACAATAGAGAAAGGTGGTTGAATGCCCTCACCCTACCTGAAATGTTTGTATATAGGGCCTTTAAGATGTTAATGAACTTCTCAGGTACAACCTCCTTCAATAGACACTCCCAGAGAACAGTGCTGTCCAACGAATCGAAGGCAGCCCTGATGTCAAGAAACACTACGATCATTGGCCTTTGATAAGTATGACGGTGTTCTAACATTTGGTGGAGAGTGAAGATATGATCAATACATCCTAGACCAGAAAGAAAACCAGCCTGCCGCTCGCGAGTCAATCTTTCTCGGGTTTTGAACAACCTACGAAGTATGACGGAAGCCAATAGCTAGGACGCAATCGGAAGTAGACTTATCCCCCGATAGTTGTTGCAGGAACGACGTGAACCCTTTTTAAAGATAGGGACAACTATCGACTCATTCCATGACATTGGTACACTCTCTAGTTCCCAGACCTTTGTAAACAACGTCGTCAGTTCCTTGATCAGAAAGTCACCACCATCTTTAAAAAGGGCCGGAGGTAAGTCATCTGGGCCAGGTGATTTGTAGCGCTTCGAGAGTTGGAGTTCCTTGCGGACTTCCACCTCATTTGGTGGATCAGTTGTCACCGGCCATGGAGTGCAGGATAGTCTGACCGAATGTTGCCGAAGCAGCAGGTCAGTTGAACTGCCCTTCGAAGAATTCTGCCCATCGTCCAAGACGTTGATGGATGTTAGTGATTGGCATCCCGTCATCCTCGCAGATTGTTTCGCTCACAGCAGACTTCTTGCTGCCAGTGGCTCGGATGAGTTGGAAGAGCTTCCGGTAGTTACCAGATGCAGCTGCTGCTTCCAGCTCATTAGCACGCTCCGACCACCAGGTTTCTCGGTCCTTACGCAAGCTTTGCCCGATTTCATTACGTAACAACTTTCGTTTGTGGTCAAACTCACGGTCACCCGGAGTAGACCGACGGGCTTCGATGAGTTTTAAGGAGTCTGAAGAAACCCAGTGCTTAAAAGCAGGACGTTTCGCGAAGCCGAACGCGGCTTTACTTGCCATTTTCATGGCGTCGTGAATTTGCAACCAATGCTCATCTATACTTTTCGGTGGAATGATAGCTTACCTAGAAGCTAGCTCGGTTCGATACTTACTTGCAACAGAAGTTGCAACCAACTTGCTAACATCAGTCCGTTAGTGGCGGTCACTTCGTTGGCCACTGAAATGTAAGGTGGGATTGGAGCAGACCAGGGAATGATCAGAGTCCAGATAGGTACTCCAAAAAGAGCGTCAGTCTTATACACAACCACACCAGCGGTAGCTGATCGCGATGTGATCAATCTGAGTCCAGGCTTGACATGCAGAGGGAGGACGCCAGGTGGCACGTCGGCGATGACTGTGCTGAAAGTTAGTGCTAGTCAGAAACAGGTTGTGATCTGTGCACAGTTGCAGTAGACGGTCCCCGTTATCTGTCCTGCGACCAACAAGTCCCCATCGGCCACCTAAATGACTCTCTTCTGTGCCTAGACGCCCGACCTGAGCATTCAAGTCTCCAGCTAGTACTACAATATCTGTCGAACGCACTTTCTAGAGAAGAACAGTTAACTGGTGGTAGAATTCATCCTTGATTGCATCCGGGCTGCAATATGTCAGGCCATAGGCGGAGATGAAGAAGAAACATCGTTTCTCACACCGATTTCTTCTCACTTTGATGGAACTTTCTAATCTAACAGCACATAACCGACTGTTAATGGAGATCCAATCGACTAGTGCTGCCTCAGCTCTAGCGCTTAGTGCGACACCAACGCCATCAAGACCAGACGATGATGCCACACGGTTCCCGAATAAGCGCACGTAAAACAAGGTTTTTGAAGCGACAGATGGAGATCGAATTTGTAGTACTTCGCCAGAGTCTTGAATACGGGTCTCAGATAGACAACAAACATCAATACTAAGACTTTCCAAAGACATAGCCAGCCCTATCTGTTGTCCGACCTGCACTAGCGTGCGAACGTTGAAGGCAGCCAGTTTGAATGGTGCACGTGGTTTCAGAAAAACTGCTTCAGTTCTCGTATTCGGTGGTAACATACAATTTTCAACCGGACAGTGACTCGAGAACGTTTAGATAGAACCGAGTTTCCACCATAGGTGAGCTTCTGTATAAGTCGAAAAATAAGTATACATAAAGTGGGAATAAAAGAGAGTGAATAAGTGACGTGGTAAATAATAATAATAATATGAATCGTTTGACTGTTAACCGAAGCAAGAATAGTATTTCCCGTAAGTATCGTCTTTTGATTCTGTTTGTGTGTGGGCTGTGATACTGCCCGGGTGCCAAGACCGGAGTAGGTGGTTTTCTCAGAGGGCAACACCCCGAGGCTTTGACCTAAAGGTCTGACCCACAAGGCAGTAGAACATCGTGAGGAGATGCAGTCTCATGTTAGCCGGTGACCAACACTTGGTTCATACGCCATTTGTTCCTTCAGGATACTGGAGCCCATGTGCACCATTGGGAATAGAAAGTTGATAAATAGACAATACACAATAATACGGTGCAACATCGTGCCAAGTGTTTAGGAGACCATAGTTGAAATGGCTTGCATTCGGTAAAATTCGTTCACTATTTTCCCCTGAATGTTGAGTTCTAATGTTACTTAATACTCTATAATATACTTTGTAATCTCCTATTTCACTTATCCTCTTCGAACCATACTCTCTAAGTTTGGTCTTACTATCATCACTACTCCTGTTATTTCGACTCACGGTGTCTTATGATAATTTGAACCAATAGATATTTTTGCCAGTTCCTATGTTCATAATAACTTCATTCAAATGAATATTTTTGATAAAGGTGCATGAAAATAACGAATTGCATATCTTTGACAAACATGTGTTATATCTTACATAACTCATAGTCACGTTATCTTAATAAAACATTTTGCATAGAGATGATTTACTTATTTAACAACCCAGTGGTTTTATTTGGCATTTGTTTGTTGTGAATTCGTGATCCGGTTCGGTCAATTGGTTATTCTTCCTAATAATCAGCGAAGTAATCATTCTATTAGCATTCATTCCAGTATTTCATCAATTGATCGTCTCATCAAATCGTTTATGTTGGTTAATAGTAGTCTCTACATGTGAACTGCGAAAAACAATGGGGGTGTTAATTATCTGAACCGCTAAAGTCGACTATGTCAACATAGTGCACTAATTCCAGCTGGTACGTTGCTAAGAGATACAAAGCGTAATCTTGAGGCATATATTGGATTTTGTGCAGTTTAAAGATTTTTTCTGTTTTGTGGGTTTCCTATATATTTTATTGCATATAGTCTACAGTAGGTCATTGGTAATTAAGCTTGAACAATACAGTATAATGAATTGTTGATATGTCTGGAAATATTACTGAAACTGATATGTATTTCTTTCGAGAAAACTAAACTATTGACTGGTTGGTTGTAATTTAATATTCACCTTATTTTTTGTGTTATTTTTTTCGAGAGGCTTAAATTTGCGGAAACCATAACAAATAAGGACAAGGAATTAATGAATAAAATACTGTGAGTTTGTTTTGTTTTATATTCCCCAGTAAATCGATGAATCTACAGACACATAAAGAACTAACATTTTTAAAAATCTCAGTGATTAACTTTACTTCACTCTCAATTCTGCTCCAATCATCAAGGAAATAGTCAGAAATCAAAATTACCACATAGAATATAAGTTAATAAAACAGCTATTTACTATTTAGTTATCCAGTCGTGTTGAGATATTGTTTCTGTGTGAATGGGAGTAATTTTATGGGGAAATGTATCCAAATTGTGTCATGCAAAATGTATGTACTTGCAGTTCCTATTTGACAACTAGTGACTATATTTGGCTTTACACCTACATTTACGATCAAATTAGTCATTCTGGTCTGTAGCCAATGATCAAACTTTTTGAAGCATGTATGGATTAAGAAAGACATTAGTTTCTTAAGTTAAATACCTAAGATTCTAGTAGATATTATTTAATTTTTAAATGTCGCCCACACATGTTGTCTTCAAATATTGTAAAACTGTTCACTCAAACTTGATAAAATTTCTTACAGACATAAAAGAAATATTTCGTAACAAAATAATGCTGTAAAAAAAATTCTGGCACTAATTTGACGATTCAGATATTGTGTTTTGTCTAAATAACTTGAATTTACAAGGGTACTAATTAAAGTTGAAAGCAAACTTGTGACGAAGTTCTAAATGATGACCACTGGATTGCCGTTCATGCACTTTATTGGTCAAGCTGTGACTGAGATGTTAAATACCGAACGGGTTTTAGTGCTACTTTATAATATCATCACTTTTCTCTCCCATAATCAAATAATCTATTTACCACTCTCAACAATGGATGTCATTTCTCGAAACCCGACATCACGAATGCATATTTCTAAGTAGTAGTTGAATAAAGCTTTGTGGAAGAGTTATTGTTAATGTTTGGTGTTTTTTTCTCAGAACAGAAACTAGTTAATTTGTACACATCTGGCATCTCAGATGATGAATCTCAATAGTTATAATCATTCATTGAATATTTGACATAATTTTTAATTTTCTGTCGTTGTAACACAGTGTTTTTTAATAAATAAATCATGTTAATGAATCTCCAAAGTTTCTTTTTAACCATTGTTTTTATTTCAGATTTATATCTAACGTATTTCACGAAATAATCCGACGAGCTCCCAAGTCAGCTGAGAGTCAGATCGTGTATGAGCAAGTTAGTTTAGCTGTCAATAGTCTTAATTATTGTCTGTTTTACCAGCTTTTTACGTTTAATTTACTTAGTTGATTTCATCAATATTGTTTAGTTTATCATTACTTATAGGAGTAATGGTCTTTTATCTGATTGTTATTGCGGGAAGTCACCTAATAAACTGTGCTAATGTTATTAAAATATTGAAAAGAAACTATTATGAAAAAATCTACTGAGGATTTTGCTTGTTCATATTTCTTCTTTTAATCTACCCGCGTTACCTTATATGTTCTAGTTATCAAGTTTTTTTCTCTATTTCGCTCCAAGCATAACTGAACCAGCAAACATCCCGTTTTTTTTAGTTAAAATGATTTTTTCTGTTGGGTGGATCACTAATATCCTTGTCCGAAATTATATTTCAATTGACCGTAGGAAGTAAAGTAGTCGAGCTCTCTGACCACTTCACTTGGATTGATAATTTCATCAGTCATGGTGGGTTTGTAACTGAAAAAATCTCGGCACGAATTCAGAAAGTTTGGTTGAGTTTTAGCAACTCCCATCACTTGTTTATAAGATGAAATATCTGTCTGCCAACAAATCTGGGAATACACTGCACACTAGTTCGTTCTATATTATTTTATGTCTGTTAAACACGCTCTATGAAAGTAGGGGACATATGTAAGCCTCAAGTATTTATTCACATATGTAGTCAAGGCGTTGGTCGCGTTTGAGGAGACAACCGGGCAAGCAATTTCGCGGTTAGATTTAGAGCATTCAGCAAATATAACAAATCAGTCGATAAAATCGTGAATCCTCATCGAATGAAATAACTGGGACATGTAATTTGTACTTATACCCAACCACCGCCCACCTTGATGCACGATTTTGACTGGAGTACGTCGGGAGAAAACTAAAGAAGGATATAATTCATAAATCAATGAAAAGATTTGCAGATTTTCAATGTGAATTATTATCTCATTAGATGTATAATACCATATATTTTATAAAATAATTATATTTTTTACGACCGTTGACAGTTGTTGGAATGTATAAATTTTAATTGTCGAAATTGTCTTCATTTCTGTGTATAATACGACTAGCTGTATATATTTGATATTTGCCATCGTATCCAGTCTAAAATTATACTAATTTGAACTTATTTGACATTTTAAGCTAAGCGTGTTTCTTGTGATCGATAAGTATCATACTTTGTTAGTTATTGACCGCATTTATTGTTAATTTTATAGCATATCGATTTTGTTCCCTCATTATTCTTATGCTTTATTATATCTTCAAAGGTTCGTCAAGGATTCAAGTCATTAAATGTTGATCTAACCAGTGATAGGAGTTTTATTACTTATTGGGATAAGGTTAGTCGTTTTGACTTATTATCTTCATTGTATGCTGAGCATATACTGAAACAAAGCTCTCCATCATTATTGGTTATCTTAAAAAAATATCTTTCCATTAAACTGCTGAGTAATCGGGATAAATGTGAATGCCTTGTAGGCGAACAATTGGTGAATTTATTTGAAGGAACTCAGTCGTATTCTGAATTAATGGAATCTCCACTAAGCAAACAACCACTTGATTCTTCAGCACAGGTATAACCAGTTTTCATTATACTGAAACAAATTTACTAGTATATTTTGAATTACATCCGTGTAATTTATTTTGTTATAGGTGTTGTATCAGACAGAAGGCATTTTAGTAAACGAGAACACAAGCGGGGATAACCAAATGTATTTGAACATAAAATTACAGAATAGCTTAGTAAAGTCTGAGTACTATACAGTAAATATAAATAAAACAATATATTTGTAATATCCCAGTGAGTAGAAAAATTAGATTTTCTGATTATAACAATCTACCCAATGCTCAATTTATTCGAAATTATTAAGTCAGACCTTGGCGATGATACATACATACAGCAAATACTTCATTTGTAAAATGTCAACCAATTGTCTCAGACTTTACCGTCCCTTCATTTCCACACCAATCATTCTCTGTTCTCGTTCTCTTCTCTTTGATCTTCTTAACCTTCTGCCTCCAGGCATTTCTCTTTCTATTGGTGATACATACTAATTATATCTGTCGACATCAGTAGCACACACTACAGTATAACATGCTATTCACACATATCTTACCTGAGATATCAATCTCTCTGCCTTCTTAAATTTTCATCCATTTTATTTACTAACAGGTTTGATCTACATAGTATACGTATTTAGAGTGAATTATGTACATAAAGATAGTCTAGTCATTCAATCAATATGCAGGTAAATGTAATAATTTGTTACTAAAAGTCTCCCAGTCAGTTGTTATAAGGTAAATAAACCCAAATTCTCTGGTTTATATCAAATGGCACAAATTGACAAACACGGAATTAATAAACGCGATATATATATATATATATATAGTAATATGTTTCTGATTTCGATTCAATATCAACTGCATTAATTCTAATTACAGGTTTTGTGCTTTAAATTAGGGCTGATTAGGAAAATATAGTATTTGAATTCAAATTACTAACTGGTTAATGTCATGCAAAGGATAATTTCTTTTACTAAAAGAACCACTTTATCCAATACACAAACATGTCCCAGGTTCTGCATTAGGTATAACAGATTGCTTGATCTTACCCAGCTTTTTTTTTCTCATCACGTTACTGTTTATTTGTACTTTTTTTCAAGTGTTTTAAACTTGTAATTCTTCTTCTTTACTAATATAGCTCAATTCCTGTTTGATTAATTCCAATATTCAAACGTTATCTACATCTTGTTGTTCATCATTACCATTATCAAAATTAAATAATTCTATGCATTTGAACAATATTCAACCTTCTAAAAATGTAACATTTGATATTTATATTGCTGGAATATTGAATGAGAATAAATTCAGTCAATATTTACTAGATAATATTATTTTACCTAAATTAATTCATTCAAATTTATCATATTACCAAGCTATACAAAATAATTTTCATGAATTATTTAAAAGTAATAAGAATTTGTCAACATTTTGTGAAGATTTAGAAATTAAACAGTTAGAAATTCGTAAAAATTGTCGAATTTTATTGTATATAATTGATAATAGTTCTTTTCATTTAATTACTATAATGGAGGTAAGAATTTTGTTAGTAATTGTATATTTATGATTTGTATTTTTAAAAAAAAAAAATGAAATTCCGGTGTCTACTTGTCATCATCAGATGATTTTATTGGAGTTCTGGACATAGTGTAATGAATAGTAATAAAAAATTTACGATTTGTATATAGAAATGTCATTTCATATCTGTGATAATGTGGTACATGCGGTTCACACTAATAAGGGCACGAGTAGAACAGTGTACGTGATAAAGAGCAACCTTCAAATAGGCGCAGATTAATAAACTTGAGCACTTAAAAGTGTAATAAAAGATTTAAGCTTGTGAAATCTGTTCTATTTGTCATCTGTTTCTTTGCCTCTAAGATCGATCAAAAGCGTAGTTTTCTGAACGTCTAATAAAGAGTGTACTTCTAACAAATACTATGATTTTTGAACTTGCTGATAGCTTGTTATTATTGCTTCCCCAATCATGTTATTTTGTACATTTATTTCGAACAGCAACGGAATAGTTTTTTAAGAGGCATGTTTGTGTTTTGGATTTCCAAACGAATAAGTATTTGTTAGACAACTTTGGTATTGAAGATACATTCTCGTATTTATCTTATCCCGTTATTCTCTAGCGCAAATTAAGTCGATGAAAATATAGGAGGGTTGGTGGTATGTATGTTTCGATGACAGTCAGCATGCGATTTAACTGAAGTCAGATATAGGGCCACTAGAAGCTTTTATTACCCTTTTAAGTGCTCATGTTTATTAATGTGTGCCTCTTTAAGGTCATCCTTTCGAACGGATATCTATGCTTGTGGCATCAAGAGTATTGAGATAGAGGGACAGATATATTTACGTCAAATTATTGCACATAGATTCAGGGTTTCCACCTCATCACAATATTAAAAGAGAAAATTCACAAAATTGGGAATTATTAAAATTGAAGATGTGTTGATGAAAAGGAAATAAGATAGCAGTTCGTAAGCTGTTTAAGATTCCGGAAAGAATAAACGTGATTGTATTGGATCACTGTTGCCGATTGGCAGCCGTATCACCTAGGGTTTCTTACAAATAAATTCCCCCAGGTAGTCTACATCTAAGTAGATGGCTCTGATCAATAACAGTTGACTGCCATTTAGTTGTGCAATTTCCTAGTCTGCGTTTATCCTTTTTTTAAAACGTGAATTTTCTTCAGTCGGTATCATACATCAGAATAAATGATGACTTAATGTATGTGACACACATTCTCAGCCAGAATTGCTAGTGCATTTTTATAGTCCGTTTGTTTGACTCATCCTGTCATAATATCTATTGTGTTTTCTTATCGTGCTGTTGTGAATAATTTTACATAAACTTTGAATACTAATAACTATCAGCTGTGCACTGAAAATGCACACTTGGTAGTTATCCGGAAACTTTATAATGTTTTTAGATGATATAATCAAAATTAAATTGTAACATGACCGTCTAGGGATATGAATTTTAATCACTGGATCAGAAGCTTAAATCATTGATTCACCTCCTAATGTTTGTGAAGCTCTACGTCTCATTACATGTCTGCTCTTTAAATTGTTTACTCATTTTAACGTTTCTTCGATGAAATTATACCTACTGTAGTAAAAAGTTAGATGTTATTTAGTTATCTGAGTAATACCACAAGTCCATATAATACCAGAATCATCTAGAGATCAGAATAAAGGGAATAGCTTCGTACATAAGATTTTTCACACTTTTAGACTGTTTAACGTTAAGAATAATTCTGTCATCATTTATATGTTCTATTTTAATACGGGTTACGTTACCTGACAAATAATCCGACAATAGTGCTGTAATCTTCAGGTTAATAATTATATTAAGAGCGATGATGTAATACTTAGGTGGTTAGTTTCACATTAGATTTTATGAGGATGTTATGCTGTATACATCTGTTGACTTCCATGTACGTTCATATTAATTGACTTGGTATTCTAAGCACTTTAATTCGAAATTCACTTTCTACTCTATCAAATTTAATTTGGTCCAGTCGTTTAATATTTCTAGACTTCATATATAAACTTTGTCTTGACTTTCTACTTATTTGGTGGGTTTTTTGAATTTCCGTTAAACTTATATTATTGTTATTTTTGTTTTGCTTGTTCTATTTTTCAGGCAGCCTATTCTATAGGATGTCATTTACCTGTAGTTCTTTTCATACAAATGTTTAATTCTTCTAATGAAACAGACGTTAATAGTTGTAATATTTCTCATGAGAAATATGAACCTAATTCAATTCAACAATTAATATACAATGAATGTAAAGTACAACAATTTTCTGTAAGTTCCATTTTTGTCAATAAAAAAAGATTTTATTTCATCTATTTTCTATTTTAGATTAATAATTTTGTTAATATTAACATGAAAAAGAATACTCATAGCAGTGATGTTTCCAGTGATTTCACTGGAACAATTTCTTCTCTTTCTAATGAACAATTATCAATGAAGTCTAATTCTTTAGAATATGGCATTGTAATTGATTCACATCATTCTGTTCAACATTCTACCAATAATTTTGATTGTTTAACGGATAACAATAAATCTATCAATTCAAAACTACATGATAATAATAATAATAATATTTCTATGAAATCACTTTCACAACAAGCCATTAAGGATTATAATCGTGTACGTATGTATTTAATTGATTTAGCTCAAGAATTAAATATCCCTGTTGCATACGATATTGAAACAGCTCTTAATTTGTGCATCTTTAAACTAAAAACACAAGTTTAAATTCCTATGTAGGCAGGAGAAAAAACAACAAACAGTTATACATATTGACCATTCCATGTCTCGCCTACGGTGAATATCTTTTTGATTATTATTTCTACCTCCACAAATGTTATTACTTCTGTTATTTTGATCATTCGATCAGTTGTATTCTACTTTGTTCTGTACATGTTATCTAAGTTAGCAAAAAAAAGAGAGTAAAATAGAATTGGAGTACTTTTCAAAGTAATTAGCAAAATGTTTAAGCCTGTTAATGCTTGAATTAAATTTACCTGACTGAATTTATTTATAGTTTTCTTGTAATGTGACTATGATTATTTCGTTTTATATTTATAGAAACTAAACTATGTGATTTTGTTTTACATTCTTAACATCACAATTCTATTCTTTGTTTTCACTTATGTACATATCCATGTAATTACAATAATCACTTTACATTTCTTTATATAATTTTACTTTCTTTTAAATGTTTGTGTTATTGTTTACATGCTATACACTAGTTGTATTTAATTTGTGTGTTTTTCTAAGTTGTTGCTCATATTTATTTATGATTTTAACAAGTAATTATTATTTGTTGTTTACTGTTCATTTAATTTATTTCATCATAGTTACGGGGTAAATTGATTCTAGAAAAAAAGTGATTATCATTAACAGGGTCTAAATATTGATATTCTTAAACGTTTATTTCTATTCAAATTATGTTTACCTGGGAGTTTTGTGTTATGTATCCGTCAATTTATTATGAATGAAACTTGAATATAGTAATGATAATTGCGTTGAGAAAACAAACATTAATTTTAGATAACTCGTGATTACAAATTATTGTCGTAGTGTATGTAATCATTGGTTAATAGTTTGAAAGTTTTAATTTTCTATGTGATTATGTGTTATGTCTGCGAAATATTTAACTGGTTTGATATTATCTTCTGGAAATGGTGAATCGGTTGATGCAAATAACATGAAGACAGTGAATGCGAACCTAATTGACATCCAAAATAAGTTGAAGTGATATCTGAATACAATAATTTTCACTGATTAATGGTCAGATTTTTATACAGTGAACTAAGTGGTACTTGACAATAATTCATCCATAATCGACTAAATAGTAGTCGTCTATGGCCAACAGTTATATTGATATGATTATTTCCTATAATGTAACTACATAGCATAAGCGCTTGGGAAAAGAAATCAATATCGTATATTAATGACATTTAAATGGATAAAGCAATTCTTTAACATATCACCATGTATAACTAATAATGCTATATTTTCCTCTAGTGTTATCCAACTAATATCATTTATTCACAACTTATCTCTACATTCATAGCTTTAAAAATATATTAAAGCTAGACTATTTCATTGGAAATGCTAAAATTCACCGAATCGATTCCCATTATCTTCCAGTACTAAAATCTTCAGCAAGTTGACGATTTGTGTTCAGAATGATTTTAAAGTATGAAAATTTAAAGTTAAATAGTATGATTGCTTGGTTTTGGTTTATTCCTACTCACATATACTTATATTATATGGTGATAAGATTTTCCTTTCTGACTTCAACCATGAGATAGTTTTCAATGATGCTTAATTAGTTAGCTGTCACTGGTTACGCTGGAAATAAAATCCAACTCTACGCTTTCAAGATGTTTTCGAGAATCTGATTAGATCAAAAAAAATTTCGCCATAATCTTAGAAAACTTTAAAAGGTAATTTATTCCTTCGGAAATATCACCAACTCGGTACGTAATTGAATAAGAATGAAATTAATATGAGAAAATGACTAATAGCTTGTGAGGATACATTTATTGTATTAGTATAAGTTAGGACAACTAAGAATTCCATATTTCAGTTTTCAGGCATCGTATTTTATTATTGCTGCTAAAATTGAATATTTTATCCAATCTTTGGATACTTTATTCAAAGCATAATTTATTCTATGGCATCAATAGATGACTTGATCATGATTTTCATTTGACAAAACAAATGATTAGGAAAATTATATGAATGATTTGACAATGACAATATTGCTTTAGCAAGTTATTACAACTTAATCCTTTTATTCACCTCAAAAAACGTGTATGTTTTTATCCAGTAATCTATCTATATACCTTAGAATTACAAATTGGCAGTAAAATAAGTATATATCCAGGTCAATGGTAATCGATTTGATCAACCTTTCAGTACTCCGCATATATGTATTCATAGTAAGGAAGTACTAGAAGCTGACAAATACATAAGTATGAAATCAATATTAGAACTCAACTTTGATAAACATTTCTCAGCTTTGTGTGTATGTATGTGGATTTTACTCTAATTGGAGATTTTCGTGATTCAGGCTAGTATTAAAACAAATAAATAGATGAATGTTCTATTGTCTACTTTAGTTTTATTGTGGTCTAAAAACAGTAAGCAAGACGATAGTGATATATTTCCTTATGGTAATGACGCTTTTAAATATATTATGGGATAGTAGTTGACAAAAAAAGATGTATATGATTTTAAATACCTGTTATTAAAGTGTTATAGAATGACAAATTTTCAGTGCTTCACGTATTTTAGTCCCTTTTTCAGAAAGGGAGAAGTAGCAATCACAGAGTACCAAATAGTTAGAACTAAGTATGAGAAAAAATTTGATGTAGTAAGTCGTGTCAATGTTTCCTTCTGTCAAGTCATGCTTATTTGTCGCTAAGTTTGATAAAACACTTATTGCAAACTACTTATAGGATGACTTACAAAATGCTGTATGACATTAGTTATGAGCGTTGGTAACTCAAATTATGTATGGTAATCGATGTATTTCGCATTCCTCAATCAAGTTTGTGCTTTTGTCTTAGTTGGTACTGCATTTTGGTTTTAAGAATCTGTGGCATGCTAGTCGTATAGCATTTGCTCAGTGAATTCCTTGATTACTAATCATACACTACCTTCTCGTGCTTGAAGAGATTAAGAATTGAGCGCCTCTCATTACTAAGCTCACTGTTAACCAGTTATCTTATTACAATTGTTCAGCTTCAATAAGTCAGTAAAGAAATTAGGTTTTTTTTATTTATGTCCAGCTGTCAAATAGGTTTATGTGACATCATTTTATCTTCAGGAAATATATGATTAATAAATTTATATGAATATGCTGACAGTTAATAGTTTTGCGAGATAAAATTTATTGTTTTTACAATATATTCCTGTCCGACCGTAGCTGCTACATTGACGCGATGGTCCGCCTTACCTATCATCATGACCCAACCGAGCTATATTGGCTGAAAAATATGTTCCTGTAGCTTCTACCATGCTCGGCAGGTCGATTGGAGAACGGTAACACTAAAAGCAGCAACTCAAGGTCTGAGGGCGAAGTCGTACTGTTGACTGTAGAGGGATGTGACAGCAGTAAGGTGTTCCCCTCGGGCAACCAGCATCTGCAGTGATGCTGCCTTCTCACAAGGAAGGAAGCGGTTAGAAAAGGCTGACCCCAAAAATGTCACACCTCACCTTACCTCACGGATTTCCGTCTCCGACGGTAAGGCCCTTTAAAGAACGGAGCTAACACATTAAAAACCTTCCACGAAAAGGCCATGCGCGACCGGCCTCAAGCAGTTGTCCCTTGGACTCTGCGGTCACGCTCCCAAGTCGCTAAGACCAACATTAATCCAGCTTCCTTTTCAGGTTTCTCAAGAAATACCCTTCCATGGTGTGGGCAGCCGGGAAGTGACGTCAGTCCTCATACCCGTAACAGTACACGAGACCAAGTTGGTCACATTCAAATCCTTCCTACACCTCCTAATACCTCTCTTATCTCCACGACTAACCCTTCTCACGTCTCTTTATCATCTCGCACCGCTAGAGCAAACGATTCGAGTTCGCAGAACGTTATTCCTGGTCTCTTGAAAGCAGGCTCTAAACTACACGTAGGAGCTTACTCTTACCACCTCTACCACTACGGGATTTGATTCAAGAATTGTATTTGTGTGCTAATGTGATGTGGTAACTCGAACTGATTCACGTACGTACGAAGTTCTACGTTGTTACTGACTGACTGGTTTCTGGTTATCTTATAGCACACAGTCTAAAGTGGTGTGCTTTTGACAACCTCTTTTAAAATTTCGTCTTTGTCAAAGAAACATCTAAAATTCTTTCTTCTACTAACTGAATTACTAAAGATTTCTCATTTTTATCATCAATTTTATTTGCTTTTATATATCCGTTGTTTAGTTTTGTATAAATTCTCATAACCAAAATTGAGGTCTCATTAATTATTAAAATTATCACTTCCCTATCAGTTTATGAAGTTTCCTATCGTGGTAACACAGTATTGATTTCTTATAGTAAGTTATTTCACTCTTCCAATATATCATGAAGAATGTTTCCAGTAGTGATAATATCAATCATAGTATATTGTTTACTTTATGCACTTACGATATTTTATACGAACACTCTTTTCTGTAATGATTACGTATGAAATCAGATTTAGCATCAAGTTATTTATATTTTTTTACTTCTATTTCCATACGTTTACATACTTTTAATTAACGTTGGTGAATTTTGATGTGTTAGAATTAACTATGTATAAATTCATTAAAGAAAGTCAGAGTGTTTAATGTAGAATGCCTTGTTACTGTTTAACTAATATAATTGAAATATTATAATTAAGAAATTTGTATACAATCTCCACTTTCCAATCAATTATATTATAAATTAGATTCAACTTTTTTAAATAGTCATGTTATTTATTACTGTTACTATTGATATCTATCTTATAGGCCACTTCACACTGAAGCAATAAATGTTACACTACCAGCTATCTGAAACTAAATAGATTAGTCTTTCCCTTCAATTACTGATTATTTCATAGTCATTTACATCAAAATGTAACTAGTAGTCTCTGTTAAGTAAATGTGATATTTCCCCCTAAAATGTTTTCTTTGTAGTCACAGGTGAGTTTTTGCCTTTTGTCAATCCGTGGTTTAACGAGATATAAAGTTCTGGAGCAGAGTAGCTATGGAATTGGTTATTGGTTTATGTATAATGATTGTATAACAGTTTTTCCAATTATCATTATTATTGGCTCAGTGATCGAACTTTCTCTTTATGTTAAGATGAGCATCTTCACATAAGTCCAGTGAAATGGTTCAACGAAATCGATATGAGCATATCAAGATTACTTCATTATAAATAACCATGAATATAATTCCTTTTTTTGTAATATTGATCTTTAAGTTCCCTTGTTTTAGTTGTTCATGTAGGAATGTTTCAACATTCTGTTTAAAGTCAGAATTAATTATTATTAGTTTATCATAATCATTATTTAGTTCTGATTACAATTTCAGTAAATCTTCATTCAAATAGAATATGCTCATAAATCAATTAATAATATTCCTAGTTCTTCAGTGTTAAATACAAATACACTTTGAGAATAAAAAAAAGTCAAAGTTATTAAGATAATATATAATTCTTAAAAATCTTTCAGTTTTTCTTATGCATTATTAAAATGAGATATTTGTATTAATAACCTGAAATATAGATTATATTAATGTATATATGTGTGTAGTTATGTCAATATTGATATATCTAACTATAAATGTATGTACATCCAGTTTCGTCTGGTTCTACTGATTGAACATATTTATTATGAAAACAAAAAAAACTACTGTTGTTGAATGCCATTAAGAAGCATAATAAACGTGTTTCTTTTTAAGAAATGGA